ATGTGTATACATACATATATACATACCTACAAGGTAAAATTGATTCATAGCTTAAGATATAGATAAATTATCACTATTTTTTTTTCCAAACCTTTGATATTTCAAGTTACAATAAGTAATACTTGTTGCATACATTTAAATCTAAACACATTTGGAATTTAATCAGTTTCAGGATTGAATTTATTTTATTTATCTTTACTATGCACAAGTTACTTCAAAAAGCTTATCAATTTCAAAGAATCATTTATATAAACATGGTTAATATTTTTTATGAAGAGGTAAGTCTAAAACAATTCAATTAAGAAAGTATTATTAATTTCATTATTTCAAATAACAATATGTAGAAGGAGTTATAATTTTGATCAAATTTTAAATTTGATTAATTTCATAAGAAATATCAAGACATACCAATTTCTTTCAATCACTTTTTCTCTTTTCTGAAGTAAACATTTTATCATAAATTTTAATGAAAAAAGGAAAAGATAAAACACATTTACATTTCACTAAACGTTTTCTTTCAAAATCAACAAGTATGTATATTAAAGAAGATACATTTTAATTAACTATATATTTTTGTAAAACAAAAGATATAAAAAGAGACAGACTAAGTTTTGTATTGTCTAAAACTTTCAACATAATGTGGATTGTAATAGAATAATTACATTTTTTCTGTACCACCAAATTTTTGATGTTGAATTTAACAATTTTGATGCCTTATTTTATATACTAATATTGCAACTATCCATGATGAATTTTGATATCTACAAGCAATAGATTTGAATGTGGATTGGATTATAATCCTATTTAATTTACAAAAACAATGAGAACACTTTTGCTCTTATTACAGAAAATAGATGATTCCTATTTCAAAGAAGGAGTTTTATTCGTCTTCCATAAAAAAATCATTAGAAAAAGAAATTGATACATTGCATGGGTTGCCACAATAATTGTATTTATGTAAAATGAGTTCTACTATTAAGTACATAAATACTTCAAGCATGGATTCACATGAAGATTTAACTATGCTTTAAAACTATACTAATAAAACCCATGAAGAAGTTTCAGTATAGAAATCATATATAACATAAATTATTTCATACATTAAATTTGTATGAGCTATTTTGAAATCATCTTTGTAGATCTGCAACTATGCATCAACATAATTATTTTTCAAAATCATGTTACAGATATGAATCTTAATTTTTGTAAGTTGAACTTCTAAGTGCCATTTGAACCTTGATATTCTAACATTTTGTTTCATGCACATGATTCCACATTTCATTTTTTCAAATGCATCACATATAGAGGGATCTTTGAAGTGTTTTGAAATATGAACCTTACCACAATTGAACATAATATGTACAAATTTGTGTACAAAAAAAGTGTTTTTTTTTAATTCTTAATAAGGATATGTAAAACTAAATAATAAAACTATTCAATTTATGTTGTAAAACAAAGATACTTTCAAACCAAAATATCTGATCACATCATGATTGCTCAATTTCACTTCATTTGTTGAACAATTGTACCACTAACTATATATATATATATATATATACATGCATCTTTTAAACAATTCAGTTGTATGAAGAAATAAATAAAATGAATTTGAATCATTTTCCAATGCTCTTCCATCCATTTCATTCCCACAAATAGTGTGTATCTAATCAACTATATGTATATATATATATATACATATAAGATTTTTTATTAGTTTATTTGAATTAAAGGAGTAAAGTATGAGTTAGGTTCAAATGGTGTGTAGAAATACATTAGTAAACTTTCACCATCTTGTCATTACCATCCACACATTGTCTTACTAAAACAATATTTAATTACAATATAAAAGTTACTATAGCAACCCACATCTTTGATATATTCTTTCATTCAACTCTAATGGTTTTTAAAGAATATTCCCATTTTAATGGGATTTCATTAACATACAATTGTATAACATTATGTTTATCTTTTACAATTTTAAATTTGCACTATACATATCTCATTTTTGTTTAAATATTGCAATATAATGGCATCTTAGTATATATATATATATATATATATATATTTGTTAATATTTAGTTTATGTTTTAGTAAAATGTCACCCACTTGAGATTGTCTATTTAACATCTCTCCCATCAAAACACAAAAAAGTATATTCACTTAAATCTAAAGTAATAGCTTGATTTTTTTATTTTATTATTATTTTTTTCTTCTTGTTGTTTCTAAAAAAAACCACATTCATTGTCTTTAATTTAATCATCAACTCTAAAGTGAAAGGTGTCATTTGCAATCTCTAAAAGTCATTTAACAACACAAATAATTATACCGTTCATCAAATAGTTAAAAATGTGCATGGAAGTTACACCCAAGAGAATCAAAATGCTTTATATAAAAATGCTGATGTTGATCAGAATAATAACAGCAACTATACAATACTTTATTCATGTCACTATGAGGCACTCTCTGCTATGAACATTGACTCATAAACAAACATTGAATTTTTGTTTTTCATTATTTAATAAACATTTAAAAACAGGATTTACTTTACTATGTTGCAAAAAATATATAATAAAAAATTCCTATTTTAAACCATATATATATATATATATATATATATGACTTGTGCATGGTAATGAATTTTAATGAATTGACCTGGTACTATATATATATATATATATATCCTCCTTTACAACTACCATTGGGTGGATGAATTCCATCGTAAAGAATGAATGTCGAGTGCGATCCAACGGATGTAATCCGCCAAAGCGTGAATGTGACGGAGGAACTGGTCCCCTTGGAGCACCAGTCGCCAAATCAACAAATCCGGAAGATGCTTAGCATCCAAATCTTCCTTCAAAAGAATGGGTCCATCTCCCCGGCCGGGCATGTTCAGCCTCGGGGAACGGGTCCACTGCACACCCTCGCCCGTGGCAAAAAACAAAATCAGCCACATCGAGGTAAATAAAACTTTAACCCAGAAGGGGGTGGAACTCAACGTAGGTCAAGGGAGGCATGAGCTGGTCTTCTTTTACCCCAGTTGAAAAAAAATATCGAATTGAGATGAGGATGGTTGGAGGGATAGGGATAGGGATTGAGGAGGGGGGAGGAGGACTGTTTTGACACAGAATGCCGACCTGATGAGGACTCCAACAATGTAACCGTCAGGAGGGTGACGGGTTCCATAATTCATGTCACCAATTGGGTTTATATTTATGTTTTCCCTTATTCTTCTTCTACTTCCATTACTACTACTTCCTTTCCTTCTCCCATTTGAGTGTGAGTCATTTGATGTGAAAGCAATGATTTGTGCTATCATTTCATGGTATGGGTGGAAGTGCAGGATCAATCAATCCATGTACCTTGATTGACACCAATTGGAAGCTTTAGAAGACTCACAATAAATAAATAAATAAATAAATAAATAAATGTATATACATACACATAATACTAGTATAAAAGAATTTGAAGGAAAAAAGTATGCATTTCTGGAGTCTTCCTTTTAAGTATATAATAATAAACTAGATTGTGAATGTATGACTATGTGTATGACCTCAATGCATGCACTCAAATCACACCATGGTGGGCAAGGGGTCACTTAATGGCTCTCACAGAAAGGAGGCCAAGGGTCGTTACGAAGTTTTGGACTGTTACTTTCAACGATACGATACGATACGATACGATATACGATAGCGTACCCGTATTTCACAGGATGGATGCGTTCACACGGTAATAACGTCTCCTTTTTTTCGACTACGAAGCGAGCAGTAGTCCTTTTTTTCTTTCTTTTTCTTTTTTCTTTTTACCTTTTCCCTGTCTTCAGTGTTTTTACTACTGCCTGCCAGTCAGCGCCTCTTGCGTCCACCTCCGCTCCGCCCGGCAGCACCGTGATTGAACGTTCTGTTGCAATTACCTCATCGAATCTTAATTACCGGCTTAGTGGACCACTCGCCGCAAGACACACACGCTGAAGTAACTAATCGGCTGACAAATTGAGCCACGATCCCAGACAACGTTCCCTTTAAGTTCACTTCATTGATGACACCTCCACGAGGAAAGTCCACATCAGGGGCCCGGTTCACACATGTGGCAGGTCCAGTCACAAATCAGTGAGTGAGTGAGTGGGTGTGAGCGCTCTCCTCCGCACTCGGCCCCCGTCTTCCCCCCTCTCACAAGACACAGTTTATCAGTAACTCACGATTCATCCCATCTCGATGACTCCAGCTACTACTTGGACTGATTGACCGATTGACCTTCGATCGGGTCTTCGCCGTTAGCCAGTAGTACTTAACCGGGAATCACCGGTCGTGAACGTGTCCCCCCCCCCTTCCGTTCACCACCGTGCACAACCGTTCACCACCGAGGAACATATGATCCCGCGGGGCACATGTTGCTGCAGCGACAGCAACTACGCTGCAGACGGCGAGGATTACCCGGCGTATTAGTAACTTGATTAGCCAGAGAGGGAGGGGAGGGGAGTTACGAGATAATAACGAGGATTTTACGAGGGGGGTGTTTAGTGAGGGGAGTTAGTGAGTCGGGGGAGTGACTAGTGAGTTCCGAGGACGCTAGAGGGCGATCGAAGGGAAGCGAGAAGGGAGAGCGATGGCTCCCATCTTGTTCCTTGTTTGTCGTCCTGGTCTTGTGTGGGCTTTGTTTGGGAGGTGTGCGTGTCGCTCTTCTCGTCTCGTCTCGTTTCTCTTTCTCTGTCTGTAGTTGGGGGGTGGAGCGGGGTGTCTGCTTGTGTGCAGTCTTCGCAACTGGAGCGGAAATAAAACTGGGAGTTGGTGGAAGAGCTCCGCGGTGCCGGATCTGGTCTTCGGGGGAGGTGGATCGACGACGAGGAGGAGAGGGAAGGAGAAGGGAAGAGAGGGTTGGAGTAGTAGTGTCGGAATCGATAGATGTAAGGGAGTAAGTTGCAGAATTGAGGGAGCGAGGAAAGCAGGGATTGTGTTGTGGCGAGGGAGGGAGAGGCGTGGGGGTGGGGGTGGGGTGGGGGGGGGGGTCGGGGGCGGGGCGAGGTGGTTGAGGAAGGCTTGAGGGGAAGAGTGCTAGAGGGGTTGAGGACGGGGAGGTGGAAGGAAAATGGCAGTGACGGACAATGCTGGGATAGGGCTGGCCATGAATATGGAACACCTACCCATGACCAGGAACTATCCGCTGATTTCGTCGGAGAGCAAGGCCGATCAGCAGGGTGATCAGCAGCATCAAGCGGCCTTGGAGGAGCAGCGGCATCAGCAGAATCAGCAGCAGCAACTGCAACACCAGTACGGGCAGGTGCACTATGAGCAGCAGCAGCAGCAGCATCAATCTCAGAATCAAGCGCATGTCAGTCCCGTTTTACAGAAACAGGTTCCATCAGGGGGGCAGGGTCAAGGGCAAGGGCAACATGCGCAAGGGGTGCGAGCTAATGGGACCAGCGCAGCCAACGGCGTGAATGGGCACATCAAAGCAGAGAACGGGAGCGACGGGGGTAATGACGAAGGGCACACGCTGGATGCGCGCAGTAATGTGAGCAACGACAGTCTAAGGGAGCTTGAGGACTTGCTCACGAAGTTGAATCCTCTGGCGAAGGAGTTTGTGCCTCCTTCCCACACGGACTTGTCCAGCACCGCCGTACCCTCGCCTGCTGCTTCTTCGAAAGGTCAACCTCGCAAGGTAGGTCCCTTCCCCTCTTCCGCCATTGATAATGCATTCCCTGTCTCTGTCTCTTCTATAATCGTGCAACGCCGACATGCAATTTCGAGTCAGGGGTTGAAATCTCCAAGTCTTCTCTCCCGGCACTGGCATTGTGCCTTTGTAGGGAGCTCAATCTTGGGCTCTGATCCACGGCGTTGGCCATGTGATAGAAGAAGAATGGTTACAACCAGGGTAACAATAGGCGAGTCAACAGTCGGACGAGTCGTGCGCAGCGGGAGGATAGTATTCGCAGGACGGTTTACGTGTCCGACATAGATCAACAGGTACGGGACTCTTTACCCCTCCGACGGATCTTTATTTTGTCCTAATTAGCTTCAATTAAATTAAATTAGTGAGATGGTGGGGTCTGCTGTAAGAGTTTTAGAAAATGCAACGCAGAGGTTGTCAACCTACGAGACACGACGCTATCGCTGAGTTTGCGTGAGTCCTCTTCAAAGATGTGCTTTACGTTTTCATTGGCTACCAGATCACGTCGAGGTTATGCTATGAATCACTTGTTAGGCTTGGATATCCAATCCAATTTGGAGCTGGGGTGGCGAAAACGATATTTTTCTGTTCACTCCGAGCTTCTGAAGTGGTCGCATGGAAGTTAAAAAACTAGAATATTGTCAGTACTGCTTTAAACCTTTCGAATTGGTCATTAGTGTGCTATAATATGCCCCGGTCTACATTTAGGTCATTTTTGATGGTAGATGGTAATGTAGCTGCGTGTATAAGTGCGCCGGATATTTAGAAGGGTTTCAGGTTTGGTATTGAAGTTCTTGTGCAAACTCCGTTGTCCAATGCTGACTCTGTGAGCGTACCTGTATGAGAAGTTGAATTGCCGTAATTCTTCTGAAAATTGACATTACTGAGGGTGTTGTCAATAGCTTATGGTTAGGCTTATATCACTTTATACCAATGCTCTTTTTTCTTGCCGAAAATCATTCTAAGTTTTGGTCAGTACCATCTTACTGGGATTGGGACACTTTTGGTGTGTGTTATAGGTGACAGAGGAGCAACTCGCCGCCCTCTTCATCACCTGTGGCCAGGTGAAATGCGATCGCTACCTCTAATGTATAGGAGGGTCAGTTCTTTGTATTAAAAATGTTTCGGATTTACTTAAGCGATAGTGAATCTGTTTGATCCGGTTCACACTGTAGTGGTGTGATAGTATTAAGAATTGTGTAAGTCCTTACCTCTGGACTAATTCTGGGTTAAAACGACTAACGATCATCTCAGCGGATTATTATGATAGTTAAGCTACCAAAATATTACGAGATCAGGAATAAAACTAGTACGTGTGTAGTGCCTACAGGGTTATGATACAAGTTACTGTGTTGTGCTCAGGTTGTGGATTGCCGTGTATGTGGTGACCCAAACTCTGTGCTCCGATTTGCTTTTGTGGAATTCACTGACGAAGGTAAACACATCTGCGCATCCGACTTTTATTTTATTTTATTTTATTTTATTTTTGTGCTTGACAGTTTCTGAGAGCTGTATAATCATAAGGTTATTAGCCTAATTTGGTTAAGAGTGGGTTTCAAACAGATCTATAACAAAGTTCAGTTAGCAAAGTCGAATTCGAAAACAAACAAATAATTTATTCTAACGCATTTTCTTTGGTGTAATGCTTCCTTCATCATCACCAGAGGGCGCTCGTGCAGCATTGAGTCTTGCCGGTACAATGCTGGGATATTACCCAGTTCGAGTCCTTCCATCTAAGACAGCCATTGTACCTGTCAACCCGACCTTTTTACCTCGGGTAAGCGTTTTTTGAACTGATAGGTGTTTGATTCATAGGGACGGCGAAGATATGCTGAGATGAAGAAATACAAATTTGGTTTTGGTTCTATTGTACTGCTACTAGCCAGCCTTAATGCATGGGAATTGTTTCATACTTGCAACGATTGTTAGTGATATGCCATAGTTCTTGAATACGGCTCGGATGAATTCTGGCTCTAACTTAGTTACTCTCCATTACAGTCTGAAGATGAGCGTGAAATGTGTGCACGGACCATCTACTGTACAAATATTGACAAGAAGGTGAAGTGGAGTGAAATAGAATTTCGTTGTTCTATGCTGACGATGAGATCCATCCGTTTTACTGCCTGCTTTTTTGCGATAAGTTGCTCTTCTCTTTGTGTATTGCTGTCTCCATGTCTCACGACGCCATGAGAAATGTTCATGCTAGTATCACATTGTAATGTGTGGCCGGGGCTCTGAGCGAGCAGTGACTTGATGCAGGTGTCGCAGGCCGATGTAAAGCTTTTCTTTGAATCATTGTGTGGAGAGGTAACTAAACCTGCGGTCACTTTCGATTTTATTCGTTTATTTATTAGCTCGCTGCAATTTCTAATGCTTCACCTGAGCCGTATACATTGCAGTGGTTTCGTTTTACTTTCATTTGATGGGAATCTGGACGTGTGATGGAATGTGAAGGTTGCTCGGCTAAGATTGTTGGGTGACTATCATCACTCTACTCGAATCGCATTTGTCGAGTTTGTGATGGTAAGTTTTATGCTCTTTTCGGAGCTTGTATTGGTTAGATTTTGTGTCAGAACTAATTGTTTGAGTAACCGCAGCGACTTGGTCATTAGGATAACCCTGAACAGTGTTTATTTATAGTTTTGGGGTGCAGAAAGGGTTTCGAGGAACTGTTGAATTACTTAATGCTCTCAGTGGATTGAAGAAGCCTACCCTCGCCTTTGTTGACTCGAAGTGATTGTCTGTGGCAGGCGGAAAGTGCAATGGCGGCTTTGAATTGCAGTGGCGCAATATTGGGTTCACTTCCAATCAGGTAAGAAATCCGTTTCCCTGTTTCCATGCACTGTTTTGTTTCACTACTTTATGATATATTTCTTCATAACGGGTGTCAAACAAAATATCCTATTTGCTGCCACCTATTGAAAGTTTACAAACTATACATGTTCATATCTCCTGGAGGTTAAGATGCCGTATAGAACAAGTTTCTTTTTGTCTTATATCACTAGTTAACTTGGTACTCCTTGCCCCAATTGTGCAGAGTGAGCCCATCGAAGACGCCAGTTAGACCACGGTCACCGCGTTCCCCATTGCATTGAAGCTCCCCATAGGCCGGACTGGTGTCAACTATCTTGTGCTCCCTACAGCAGGGTTTTAGAATCTGCTTACGACTCAAGTGGTCGCTGAGACCCAATTCATCATGTTTTGTCACATCTCCAGACGTCGTCGATCTTAAGCTGGAGGCCGGAGGCAGCTTACAGTAGTAGAAGCGTGTTCCTGCTTACGACGGAGCCGCTTTGGACTCCCTGTCCCTATTCATCTGCTATTCCAGATCTCTACTGCGGAAGGCAGATCTTGCCCTACCCTACCCCCCTCCCGGTGCTCTTTTGTGCCCGAGAGCCTGCGATCCCCACAGGGCTTCGAAGTGCGAGTGGCAAGCTATCTCTTCTCACTTGTATTTCATACTTTGTGCGGCAAGAATGGCAAAGAGGGAAGGTCCCTCCCCCTTCTCTCGGCTCCAGCATTTATCCTTCGAAGCTTGCAGCACTCAGTCTACCTTCTCGAGAGACCTCTGGCTAGTTACCCACTGCAATAATGGATTCTTATCCGCAATGCCCAAGGCTTTATTTAAAAAAAAAAAAAAACTAATTTATCCTTCCTCTTTTGTGATATCCCCTTTTGCCCTTCCTCTTTTTTCTTCCTTTTGGTTTCCAACGCTTTTCATCACAAGTTGGATAGACCTGTTGTCTCAAAACTCCTGAGCCCTGGTGTTGGCCTTTTCAAGGAAGGAAAGCAAGCATGTGATGGGAGTGCCCACTCTGTCCGTCTCTCTCCCCATCTTTTCTCCTCTCAGAGCCTCTTTGGATATGCTTTTCAAAGAGTGTCAATCCTGCAAGCACACACATGCATGCTCGTACAGTCTATGCATACAAGTTCATTTTTCTACACACACACTCTTGTGATTGGTGGGTTAATGAAATGGGGTGTAGGAGTTTGTTTCTGCATGTTCACAGAACTTGACACATCATGCCTGTTAACACATGAAGACATGGTTTTCTCTTCTTCATTTTCATTCAGTCATTCTTTCTTTCATTCGTGTGTATGTGTGTGAATACATACATACATACATACATACATACATGTATATATTTGTCTATGTGTATAATTGTATATAAATGCATGTAAAAGTTTTGACCCAATCTTGCCATGGACTGACTTAAGAGTCACAAGGACTTGACGGAGGGACACTATTCCAAGCAGCAGTGGTGCAAGCAGGTCACTCACAGAGGCTCTCCACTTTATTTTGAAATCAGAAATAATTTAAAGAAAAAAATTAAAGAGGAAACGACAACAAATAAGGACAAATTCTGCTTTGATTTCATGCACTTAGTTAACTCCATTTGGGAAGCCAAGCCAAGTCCCTCCTCAAGTTGCATTGTCATTGATGCTGGTTCACTGGAGTCATCACTCAAAAATATGAATCACCACAAATTCTGATTATTTTTGCAACTAGATGATAATCAATTACCTCTAGATTTTCATTGTCTATCGCCAAGTCAATTTCATTCATGAATTATATTGCAGTGATGATATTTCATTCATTTTTTTAATATTCCATCTCATGATTTTACAGGGCTGTCAATGTATGCTTGAAATAGTGAATAAACCTTTATTATCACTTTGAAATAATAAAAATGATGCAAAAGTTTTATCCGTTTGTTGCTAAGACAAGTTAAGATTTAATTCCTATGCCAATATCAATATCGTGGGTTTTACATAGACTCAAAAAAGATATATTAGTAAAAATAACTAAAACTTGAGGCATGGATAACTAAATCTAAAATGAAGGTAAAGATGCTAATTGAATACTCTTTACATGTGTGTGTGTGTGTATATATATATATATATATATACATATGTTTTTTAATACATGTTGTCTTGATCTTGTATATATTGGATTGATGAATTTATCAACAATTGTTTGATAATATAATTTTGATCATATTATGAGAAAAACGTTTTAAAATGTATCTGTTTTAAAAAATATTATGTGTATGGTTTCAAATTACAATCATTTACAACTCGTTTTGTTCTATATACATAATATAATTGGAGTTGTTTTTATCAATTTGGAAGTAGTAAAAACCACACCTATTAGTATTTTTATTGTACTGCTTATCATCAGTATCACTCTTTATGCCAAAAGAAGGTGGTATATGAAAACAATAAAAACACCTACAAAACAATGTTTATTTAAAACAAAGATTAATAGTTTACTGGAAGATTAATAGGTTCTTTTGCCAAATATGTGGATTCTAAGATTATCATTTGATTGTGAAAAACTCAATAAAATGACATGGAAACATACTTTTCTCAAAACAACATTATTTATTTATAGCTGAAATCAGTTGCATCACATTTTCTGTTCAGGAAGAAATATTCAATATTCTATTAATAATAATCAACCATATACTGTGATATTTCCAAGTTATTTACCAAAATAGTTGCAGAACACATAAATAAATCAATCAATAAAGGCAATATTCAACAATTATATTATACAAGTAATGTGTGCAATTTATGGGGGAACATTGGCAATGATGAAAACAATTGCCAGTACACTAAAATTTTAGATTGTCAAAAGATAAATCATAAAATTTAGGAATGACAAAACCAAAGTAAAATAACTAGAGATATGTATATATATAATCATATATAGCTAAAAAATGTATGATTTCAAAGCACTGGAAGTCACTATAATCATTTGTAGCGTAGTATGATTAGAATCCTATTGAGAAAGACTTTCCACTCTCTTCTGCCATTCTTCAAGCCCTAAAACCCCACAAAAACCCTGATTCAAGCTTTTTCCTGCTGCTTCCCCTGGAGCTTCACATTTTATGAACACAATGACGATGACTGTCTTGGGGACGCAGGATGATGGGGTTGGCCTCAGCTCAACCCTAAAACCTTGAAACCCTAAACCTCTAAACCCTGAATTTAGCTCTTGGAAACCATCAACACTTGGGTACCATTTGTATACCAGGAAATCGGGTTCCCGTTGTTGGGCTGGCGAGGCTGGTTCAGTACCCATTCTGATCCGAAGTCTGACGTCTGATTGATATAAGGGACTATGTATTTCTCCATCTGGTGGCTGGAGATGCTGAGGTGATCACTTGGGAGGCTGATAAACGAAACCTTGCCCTCTTCATTTAGAGACCTCAGTCCTATCCAATCCTCCTTGTACAAAGCAGACTGACAAAAAAAATATAAATATAAATCCCAACAGCTCATGGATCAGGGTGATCTAGTGTAATAGCTGCTACTGTCTAGGTTGATTAAGCAGAATGTTCTGAGTTTCACACGGGGGTGAAGAAAGAAAAGAAAGAACAGAATCAAATGGTAAAAAATGGGAAGCCCCCAGTGATACCTCATTTAGGGGTAGTACTTCGCACAGCGTCACGTCATTGTCTGGATAATACTGGAACCAAGCTGACTGTGGTGGAACAAGTACCAGGTCCTCATCAAACTGCACGGCATTGTAAACTCTTGCGCTTATTAGTTTCGTGGACACGGAAGTTTCTCATCATTTGAGATGAATGGAACTGACAAAAGCCCCCTGTGCGTTTGAATCTGTAAACCAAGTTTAACGCTGAATGTCTGGAGGAGGAGAAGAAGAAGCCGGTGTACTAGTTCGTGGTGATGAAACTGAGGGAAATTTGAAGTACCTGAATTAACACTAAATGATTGAGCTGCTGGAATCTTTTCTTGAAGCTTTTGTTTTGAACATGGGGGATTTCATTGTTGATCCTAGGAAGAAGGTACGCACGTTTGTAATACGTTGACAGTTCCTATCCACCAAAAGATGAAACTTGATCAACAAATTCCTTGTGGGAAAATCATGTTAGATGCACCACAAAGAGAGACTGGAAGTGCATTGGAGCAAAATACGTTTTCTACGAACATGAGTGACTTACAGAGGGGATTTTGAAGTAACCACTTGGTGCGAAATTGCTCTGCACTCACCAATGGGTCGAAACATGTGTCAATGCCACCCATAGTCACAAAGAAATGAAGAAATTGCGTGCATGCTTCGGTTTTGAAAATCGCTTCACATACTTCGTGTTATCCAATATCTCAGATACTTTAAATTCCATCGAAAATTTCACTTGCTTTGCGTTGAACTCCATACATGAAATTCTCCTAATTGGGGGCATAAAAACTTGTGTGACATTCACTCAACGGTTCAGTTCTATGGGTTGAAAGAAATATGGTGCAGAAGCATACCTGCACTATAGGGGAATAAATTAAGGGTGCAATTCCTTCATTGAGAAATCTGCACAAGGGCAAGAACTGCAACATCCGTATTAGTATAGTTACGTTCTGCGTTCATGCAATACCGATGTTTTTTTTGACATCGAAACAAGATAATGCACGAGCGAAGTTGGACACTGAATGATCTTGAAAAAGATGGAGAATACAGACGACGAGTAGAGACTCGAAAGAAAAAGATGCAGTCACGCACTGTGCAGTAAGGAATAGCCGCAATGCCTGCATGAGGTCCGCCGAGGGAAATATAATTGTGAACCTGCACAACAATGCATAATCCCAGTTCAGCAGAAAAATCTTCATAAGCCATAGGTAGATTGAAAACAATGTTGAGCTCGGCATTCCCCTGACGGGATTCCCTCTTTGGGTACCAAGGAGTCAAAAATGCAACCTGACTCCTTGCGTCGGATTGAAGTAATACAATGTGAGCTTAATTTCCCATTAAATTGAATATAATATATAGTCTTTGTGGCTAGGTAGTGAGCTTATGTGATACATTATAAGAAACAGAATTACTTTTCACATATTGAAGTGTTTCATGTTTTTGTCCATCTCTGTGTCGTGATGGGACAATGAACTCTCGAATGATGAGTGGAAATGGTACTCACCGGCGGTCCTCCATGGCACCATTCAATGACAGCCCGAGCTACCATGTTTCCCTGAGAGAGGCCGACAATATTGTATCCATTTCGCAACGACGGTATGGATTTGATCTGCAGTTCAAACAGTAAAAGAAACAATCCATATGAATTGAGAAGGAATGCACAAAACACCGAAAGCAGTAATTTCCAAGTACAAATTGGAGGAGCCCCACATTGAGAAGACATAACCAGGCCTGACGTCAGATTTGCGTACCTTGTTGCAGACCATCGCAGCCTGTGTCATTCAAAAAATCAACTATCGTTAGTGTGGCAGATTGGCAAAAACTTCGTTCCACCAGACGATCGTAACGCTAATTTCACAATTCTATGCAGGAATCACCGTATTCTTACTGATGTTCAGACCCTGATATATCGTTTCTTAGTGCAAAATATACCTGTTTATCGATTCGTAGCAACCAAGAATCAATCCTTCCATTTCCAATGGATCTGCAGCAGATAATCGAATTTTACAATCAGGCAATTCCTCGGAACAATCTGCCCTTACCGCCACGCCTCATCAAAACTACTCTAACAATCTAGAGAATTTAGTTAACTGGGTATTTAGGGCTAGAAATAACGTTTGTGTGGGGGTCCTAGTTTTCAAAGGCATACACGGTTCACGTAGGCATTAAGTGCACTCAGAAACTCATGGAAGGTCAGCCGTTGTAATGAGCAAACAAAGAAATACATAATTCAAGTCCAGATGTGAGAAAGAATCACATACAGGCAACGCCCTTCGGCTCCCGACAAATCACGAAGAGCCTTCGTAAATTCGGTAACTCCATCATTCCCGCATTGATCATCGAGCCCTGCTCACAAGAAGCCCAAGTCATTAACCATCACCGCAGTGACTCCTGGAATGACACAGAAACCTTGGATGATCGCTACTTCGTAGATTAAAATTCCGAGAGCAAGAGGAATGATCAAGGTCATCTTCGACACAAATTCCACCGCTTCAGCTCAGAGCAAATCATATTCTCGTATCCGTAGAGCAAGGAGAAGGAAGAGAGACAAAGGAAATCAAGAATAGCAGACCATTCACTGACGAACCAAACGGCAGACTCGACGCTTACATCGAATCTACGACTTCTCAGTTTGAAACAAAGGATCTAATCGTGGAAATGCCAGTATATTAGACATGAGCCTTGCGTCTTTCACAAATAAGTTTGGAAGAAGGGAGATATTAGACGCCTCAAAGACAGGTCGGAGACAACCCGTTCCAGTAAAAAGTTTCATGCTCAAAGAAACCGTTCCCCTACACACCGAAATTGACCCCACCAAATTGCAGTTGCAATTAATCCACCCAACCAAGTCCAATTCAGTTCACACCAGGCAGCACGATGAAAGGCAGAGGATCAGCAGCTACTACTACTTCCAATTCAAACCCAGTTTCTGTTGCAACACATCCACTCAATACACATCAATTCAGTTCAAAACCACACAGCAGTCCACATACCGTGCAGGACGATGAAAGGTAGAGGCCCAGCAGCTGTTGCAACCTCCAATTCGGCGGCAATCAGGCAACACAGGATCGTCACGAAACCGAGCTGGGGGTTCCATCGCTGCGCCATCGTATGACCAATTAGAGACGGTGAAGTGCGAATTGCCAAATTCACTTGGAGACTCTCTAGTGAGCCGTAAGTTAATGTGTAAGTTCTCGCTGTCCGGACGAAAATCACACTGTGCACTATATAAGCAGGCATCACCGGCTTTTTGTCCGCCCTTTGGATGAGGATGACTGCTGCGGATAACCGACGGATGGTCTCCACGACCCTGATGCGGAAACTTTTGGCGCAAGGAATTGACCTGGAAATACGAGCTAGCGCCACATCCAAAAGGTCCGAATAACCTTGAGATCGCTTCCTAGAAAGTGGAATGCGGTTTCCCTTTGCTGCCGATTTAGAAACGTGCCCACTCGAAGGACGTGTAATTCTGTCTGGGTTTGAATTCCAACTCAGCTTATCAGCATCTTAGAGGAGATCGGCCGTGAATCCCTTTTCTAATGAGATGCTAGAGAGAAGTAGTGATCGGTTGTAGCACTCGAGTCTCAGAAAAGTGTAAATTGCGTTCATCTGCCCATTCTGCCATTTGCGGTGCCGTAATTCTTCTCACCCTTTAGCTTTTCCTATAGCAATCCTGCAACTGTGCTTCTCAACCGCAGAGTGAGTCCTGTTGGGTTTTGTTTGTGAGAAACGATATCAGGGATGGCGTGAATGATACGATTACAGGGTGGCCTTGAAGCAGGAGCTGAAAATCACGCATTGGAATTCCAACTCAGGCTTTTCAGTTTGAACGAATGCCTGCAGAGGCGATTGTGTAGTGTGTGGCGAGTGTAGGGCTGCGGCAGTCTTACGAAATTTGGGTTTCTGTTACACGAAAACCTAATTGTCAGGAGTGACGCGTAGGATATTTTGTAGCAATGGAACTATGCAAGTAGGTTATGGCCTCCTTAATATATATTTTTAAAATCTTGTTTCGCTGTCGACGATCTCTACGAAACAAGCGGTTGGGTCTGGGGACATACAGTGACCACCCCAACCGAGTTTCTTCGTTTAAAGAAGGCTATATCTTCGATCGCAGAAACACGGCTTCGTGAGTGATATAGCTCATGCGAGCAGGTAAAATTCTATTCACTAATTCCAGGGAAAGAAAATCTAGATTAATATGCCCTGAGGAAGTTCAGTTGCATGTTAAGTGTGGACTTCAGGCTTCACGTTCAGCTTCTACAAGAATCAGACAATTGCAAGACAATACGGTAAATTACTGTCCGACTTTGCCAGCATAGGGGAAGCTTAGAGCCAGCGAAAAGTAAGCATGACAATCTAAATCGAGCGCTGCGCTGGATGCTGTGAATAGCGATTTTGATGACCTTTAATTTTGTGAAGATCGTCTCACAAGGTAAGAAATTGAGATCGAAGAGCTTTCAGTTCACGGACGGTTTTTCTGTATTCATGAGTTGAAGTTCAACCCTGAATTTACCCATACATATCTATATCAATTTTTCTATATAGTTCCACTGCACAGTGTGTTTTATCAGCTTCTGTTAGAGCACTTCGTCTTTGACCAGGACGTGACGACGTGATTGTATTTGTGATTATTGAAGAAATTAATAGGGTCTTGATAGCAAAGGCGTAGTAGTACTAATAACGAGTACGTATTTCTTCGAGGATTTCGGGATCTGATTTGGGGCGAGTAGGAGTATATCAGTCATTCTAATTTGGCAGATAGGCAGCTCAGGACAACACAGAAAGAGATTTCCGACACCCATTGCAGATATGCTTGTCGTCATGGATGGTGCGATCTTTAGTGTACCTCAAATGTTAGAGTATTTAACATTTGAGGTACGTGTATCGCAAGATTCATGTAATTATCCGATTACCTTTTCTCGGACAAGAGTTGTTACTACTGGTATTCCAGTATCCTGAGAACAGTGTGAGACAGTTAATGTTCTAGTACAGTGGTAGAAGGGCTGCGCTCTCAGAAGGCAACATGGGGTTCAGTTAAATAGTTGTGACATGAATACCAAGTATCATGGACGCAGACAAGAGCTGCTTCTCAACAAGTAGAGGCCAGACAAAATATGACTTCAAGTTAATTCATAGAAGGTTCTGCATGTGCAGGTAGATGCTTCAGGGTCAGGTTGAACAGCTGCTCATGATCCTTCCACTTTAGTATCAGCACTGGGTGCTACTAGTCATAAGCACGAGTGACTCTAGGTAAATTGCCTTCAACCCGCTGGGGACTCACCAAGGTCCGCTCAGACCCTTAGATGTTCTGTACAAGTTTGTGATAGTTTCAACCAAATGGTTGATTATCAAGTCAAGTCGTTGCGGCGACCGGACGACCACAAACTCAGAAAATATATCGAAAAAGGCACTGCTCAGACAAGATTTGTGTTGGAAACGAAGAGTTTTCTTCAACGCCTTCTCACGAAAGCTAAAAGCGAGCTGGGATTATCGAATCATCATAGCAGCAGCCAAAAACATACCAACGGGTCTGAAACCCCAAAAGAACAGAATACAGCACTTAGACACAAATCTAACAGCACCAACAAACAGTGAGTAACGAAAAACAAGAAACAGAACAAAACAAAGAAGACCCAAATCCCAAAACCGACATTTTTAGCGACGGTTACACCACGCCATAAGAAGCTAACCTATCAACCCAAAAACAACATGGAGGTCGGGGAAAAGGGAGAGAGCTTGAAGACAGTCTCAACAAGCGATGGCGGAACTTATAGGGCTCCGGCGACCAGCTTGGCTTGACTAGGCAAACCCTAAATCAGTGATCTATTTTCGGGAACGTTGGTTCGCAATGGAGAAGGCGGACGTTCTCATCCCCCGTTCCCACTTAAAAGAACAGGATCCCATGTTACCTACTATTGTTATCTACCATGGTAGATAGTAAAAACAAATTAAAGATTAGGAAATAAAATTTGGTGTTCGAAGATCGTTATTGACACGACACGTGGTAAATTTGGCACACTATATATTGTTATATTGTTAAGTGCTTACTGGCAGAACACAAATAAAATTCTTTTTTTTTCTGGATGTGTTCACCTTTCCAAACTTTTATTTTTAATTGTTAATGTAATAAAATGGAATGATAATTGAGATAAATATCAACTACTAGCAGTTCTATTTTAACACCATGTTTGTAATGTATTTGATGAATTACATAAGTTCAACAAAGTACATAATTTTCTATCAATTTGCATTTGTATTATTAAAAAAAATGATTGTTTTATTTTATTTTTAATCTTTCATATATTAGTTTTACATTACACATCATAGTGAAGACATTTTATATAATCACTTGGAACAAAGTCTAAGTTATATTGGGTTTTTTGGGATCTATTCTTTTTTAAATTTAACACATTAATACTCCATTGAACACCTCCAACTTGGTTGCCTTAACCCAATAACAGTACCATTCATTCTAAAAAAACTATTTCAATTCGGTCTCAATATTGCTCTATTGCTCAATTTTTTAAAAATAAATTAAAGTATTGATTTATTTTTATTTAAATATTATACATTTATATTTCAAGGGCTAATTCAATGAAGCCTTACAATTATAAATGTCTTGCATATTAATATAAATTTTAGATCTTAAATATCATGCCTAGTCTTAAAAGTCAAAATACATGGAATTAAAGAAATTAAAATAAAGATGGATAAAACATAGATAATTATTCAAGAATTACAAAAAGAAGTTTTGTGTTTGGTATAAGCAAATCTATTGTCTTTTTCGGACTTCTAATATGTATTCAAACTTAGAGTCGATTATAAGTTAGTAATTATTTTGGTTAATAATTAATGTTTTTCATAGAACATGTAGTCATGACTATTTAGCAGTATTAATTTATTATGTCAATATGAAAAAGACTAAACACAAGTATGCAACTTGAACACTTTATAATGGTATAAAAACTTATCCATTTGTAGAAATGTATGAGAACATGATTCAAATAGAGAAGAAGCAATGTTAAAATGAAAATAAATAAATTTGATAAATTAAATCAAGCTAAGAAACTAAACTAAAATATTATTTGAAACTAATTTGTTTAGTTGAAATTTTATTTAGTGTATTTTTTTATTTTTAGTTTTCAACTTATATATTCAATAATATCTTTTTATTCTTTATTTTTAATAAATTGATCTACAAATATAAATTAGTTTCAACAAGTATTAATATACAATAGTTAAAACTATTTTTTACAGTTGGATATATATATATATATATATATAACAAAAAAAATTCTACTTTATCTTATTGATAAGCTCATAAATAATTAATGATAATATTAATATATACTTACTCTATGCTTTTACTTAGTATGTTCATTAAACTTAATATGTGTGGTGTTTTTAACTCATGTTCTTGGTTGTTCTTACTCCAAATATAAATAACTCCTAAAACAACAGCCTTTTAAGTATAAAGTATATCAACTAATTTAATTTGATTTAAAAGTAAACATATTGTAACTTGTTTACTTGATTTTATTAAATAAATATTTTTTTCAATCTAAAATTTAGACTTTTATGAATAATCGAGATAAAGATTGCAAAATTTGATATTCTTTACAACACTTTATTTTCTTCAGAATTGAGAGAGCTCCACCTTTCTCCAAAATATAAATATAAATATAAAAGGTACGTGCCCAATTTCATCATTTCAAGAAATTAACAATTCAATGTGGATTTTCATAACAAATCCCCTCCAGGAATTTGAACAATTTCATTATGAACATTTGGCATACTTGTGGGATCAGATTTTGGTAAAATAATATTCCTCAATAATTATGTTTCTTAACGCTTACAGACCTAGCTGCATGGAATCATTACTCAATCCTAACGAAAATAAGATTTCTAAAAATGACTAGTGAACGCCAGAAATATATTGATGAGCTACCATCAAGTAATCTCATAAATGCTTTGGGAACAACTCGGTTTGGCTAGGTTACAATTTCAGGATCAGTGCTTGGACGCTTGGGCCAAACATACAACTCAAAATTCTGGCCATTCACACAGCACAAGGCGAAACCTACACACAACAGCAAAACAAGGAGGCTGGTTTTCACGGAAAATATCCTTCCAACCATTTCAAAAGCTGAAACGAAATAGGTCTGACTGCAAAAATTCCACCTTAGAATACAAATGACGCACCTGCTTGAGCAAAAGAATGCCCAGTTTCATGATCGTAAGACAATTTTATTATTTTATATATTTTACAATGTAAATAAAAAAGGAGTAGCTAGTCTGCTTCACTGCAGCACACCATAGCCTTAAGTTGCAGATCTTAACATTCCACGGCCTAAACAACCACCTCCTCCGCATCCAAATGTGTATTCCGAAGCCCCACACTCAATGTACATTCGTCCACTATCGAGTTCACAGCGTCTCTAAATGCATAATAATCTTCCAGTTTGTTGTAAACCTGGTGAGAGATTCGAGCGTAGGCCAGATGCTTGGAACTGTTCATGTATGACACTGATTCCCCTGCGTAGAACAATGGTACTTCGACATGAAACTCATCTCGAAGGCGTGACCGCATCCTCAGAGCATCATCCTGCAGTATCCAGAAATGTTACCCGCTTGTCAATTGAGTTACTCAACAGCAAACCATAGCTCTGTCTATTCAAATTTCTGGGTGGATTTCTATCCGTTTAAACTATTTTAATAGCCATTCCTACGACATCAATACAAAAGACGCTTCAACACCCCCGTTCTCATTTCAACTCAAACCAGATTGCTTATTTATAAATTGGAAGGCAATTAGGGTTTCATCTACTGAAGGTGTGAGAACCTTCCACAATGTCAAAGCAAGAACTAGTTACTCAACTTAAACGAAAGCTTCTTGATACTCTTGGTTTTCAGAGAAGTAGTGGAGTTTTAGAAGAAAAGCTTACGTGAGAATGGATGTTTATTTGTGCAGGAAGACCAACCATGACCATAGAGGCAAACATCTCAGGAGGTGCACCCAAGGATGTCCCCCACGTCCTAGCGAGCATCACTCCCATCTCCACCGCCATGTCATGGTTGCTCTTCTCGTATGCTTTCAAATCTCCAAATAAATCCTTCATGAACTGAATTGCTTTCGGCACCGCCAGAAGAGCGCTGTAGTCTCGAGTCCCCACCCAGTACGTTTCGGTGAGAAGCCCCGCCCCATAGCTGTGGGAGACCACAGGATGATGAAGCCGGGAAAGGAGCTGAGGTTTAGCATGGAAGAATGCCACCACTGGGGGCGCAAACAGCCATTTGTGGACATTAGCCATGTAATAATCTGCGTTTATGCCATTGACATCTACATCCACGCTGCCAATTGCGTGAGCCCCGTCGACAAACACCTTCTCCACTCCGTAATTGCGACATAAACAAACAAGATCTCGGACGGGAAGAATGATGGACGGCATTGAAGTTATGTGGTCCAGGATGACGAGTCGGATCGTGCGAGATGGATACTCTGCCTTTTTCTTCTGAAGAAACTCTTCGAAGGTGCGAATAATTTCAGAATTAGATGCGACCGGGAAAGGCATTTTGTATTCGAGCAGATGCGCGCCAGCGCGTACACAGTAGGCCTGAGGAGACGGCAGGCCAGCATTTCAGTAGATTCTTAACTTTAAACAGAGTTCTTGAACTCAAACGCGGGAAACTGTTAGAATTGAGAGCTAACGTTGGAATTAGATGCAACATCCATACAGTTACTCACCTGGAAGCACTTCTTCACAGCGCCATAGGCGGAATCGAACATCAAAATGGCATCGCCCTGTTGAAACCTTCCCTCCAGGAATCCCCACATGCAATCCAGAGCCACAATCGCCGCGCCTGAGGTAGCGTTTTCCAGCAACACAACCTCGTCCACATCCGGATAGCCGATCAATTCCGCCAATCCTTTCCTGGCAGCCAAGAAACCATCCGTGAGGGGATCCCAGCAAAAGGCGTCGGGATGTCGTAGCCATTGGGCTTTCCATTCTGCTTGATCGTCCAGCACGCACTTCGGGGCACTTCCGAAGGACCCATTATTGATACGTGCAACTCCAGGCTCGTGATGCGCAAATTCTCGCTGGAGGGTTGCCTCTCTGGATTCACTCACAAAATGAAAGTTCGCAGGCGCGGAGTAACCATCACGATCGGCGAGCGACGCAGCAATTGCACCATCGGAAGCGTCTTCGTTGTGGGAATCCTGGGAGTTTGTTCCATCCAATCTCTCAATCGCAGGCGGTGGAACATACTCACCTCGCTTGCCCTCCGAATCTCCGTCACCTCTGCCACACCCTCCGACCGCATCAACTTGACCTCCCCCGGACTCAAAACTCGACAATTCCTCCGAAACTCGACTTCCACTCTGCCCACACTCCTGCCCTCTCGTACAAATCTCGGCACTCCTCGCTCTGCCATCGAAATCCCCTCCACTCTCAGCAACCGCCGCTTCCGCTTCACGTCCCCCATCCTCCCAATTCAGCTCAGATTTCATGGGCAAATGCGAGCTAATTCTACCAACCCTTGGGATGGGATGAGATGAGAATACACACACTTGGCTCAATTGTGTGATCACCCCAATTGAGAATCCAGCAGCAACCGCAGCAGCATCTCCACCGCTGTGACCCGGTCATGGTCGAATCCTGTGCACATTCTTCATGACACATCATCATCGTTACTCCCGGGAAACTTGCCCATGGTATCGTTAATCGTCTGCAGTTGTATTGAACGATACTTTAAGATATTAGGGGACATTAAACGTGGAGGATGTATGGGAGAACAAAGTGTGGGGATAGAGAAACCCTAGTTTATCTTAGAATGTAATAAAGTAAGGGAGGAGGAGGAGGAAGAGGAAGAAGATTCCCTAAGTTTGGGGGAATGTTAAATAGATCCATGATTTTACTAAATAGACCCACTACTCTTGATGAAGAATATGGCAATCATTATGAATACGATTGGTTTTTATTAGTTGCAAATCTAATAGTGGAGAAATAAATTTAGAGGTCATTCATTTATTTATTTATTTTCATGATGGTTACAATGGGTTGATTTAGTAAAAACTTAGGTCTATTTAATATTTCCCTTAAATTAAGGAGAGAATGATGGGGTGACATTTTAGGTGGATAGATCACCTTCATTTTTTCCATATCCAACTCTTTTTTTCCCCTTCTTTTGGTAAATATTAAAATGACTTTTCTTTGGTGAATATCCCATCTTATAGGGCTAAGAGGCCTCAACTTGTCACAATTTTATAAATTGTTGATTTATTGAATCATTTTTTATGCAATTTATTGTTTGGTATAGTTTAGTTTATTTTTTTAGTTTATTTTTTATTATTTTTTTTGTAGTTTATTTTTTTTCTTCTAACATTGATGTTTAAAATTGTAATACCATTCTTATACACTTGGAATTTGGCTTGTTGCAAACATCTATGAGACTTTGTTGGAAAATTTCATTGATTTTCATGTATTAGAGGGCATATAATTAGTAGAATGAATTTGAGAATTCAATAAAAGATGATAGAATAAGAAAACTATTTAGAATTATTTCTGGAATAACAAGGAATTAATAAAAGAGTGTTATTTTAAACTTTATTGAAGAATGCATCTTGCTAGAAGAATGAAGATAAGATATACTAAATTTTAGGAGAATTTGTAGATGTGACAAAAAAACATGTCTTCTACCTAATTTGCTTTGTCTTCTTATAGTTAAAAATAATTGGTTTTAAAACTTGACATTGGAATAAAAACCTATTTGGTATAGTGTGCTTTATTGGCAAAACTCATTGCCAAGTACAATTTTAATACAATGATTATACACAATTGATATAGATAAAATTTCCTAATTTTTCTTGTAATCCAAGAGTATTTTTGATTTTTTTTTGATTTTTTTTAATGGATTATATAAACTACCATTTGTAGTGTGTTGGTACTACTTTCATCTATGTAGTATTAATTAACTTATCTATATTTAATAGAATCTTTTTTAATTCTTTATACTTATTTTAATATCCAAAAATAAAAGATAATACAAAAATCATAAGATAATATAAAATACCAAAATAGAAGAAAGTTAAAACATAATTTTAGATGAATGTTAAGTATGGATTTTAAAAGTAGGCTTAAAAATTGTGTACTATATCTAAAGCTAAGTTGTAATTTTTATTTATTTACAATACAAATTAAACTAGAATAAAAAATAACCTAAGTGAAAGTTAGTGTATTTGTTGAAGGAGTACCTTATTTGTTTTTATTGATTAGAGTATCCTACATTATTCTAATTTGCTTATTTGTTGTCATTTTAATATATTTTGTTTGTATACTTTTGATAGAATTGCTTATAGATGTTTTTGCAATAGCTGTTTCATGGTGTTAATTTTGTAGCAAAAATTGTTGCTTAATAGTAATTTTGGTAAGATTATTTGTAGATGTTGATATAGTGGTTGTTGCTAGATATTGGTTTTATAGCAAAGAAATGCCATCATTGTGGACAATTCGAAATGTGTTATTTTGCAATTGTTGTAGATAAAAAGTAATTGGTATTTTTACAAGTTTGAATTTTTTTGTAAATTAAACACAATCAATTTTTGTAAAAGTTTACAACATCATGTAGATCTAATAAGCTATATAAATAAATAAATATACTTATATAAATTTAAGGCTTATTATAAATCAAATAAGTTTACTTATTTATGTTTTAGAAGTTTAGAGTTTTTTTCAAATATTAAAAATATTATTTTTAATTGATTACTTTGTATCAAAGATTTTATATATGATTGGAGTTTTTTTGGTGCAAGATTTGAATTTTTTTCCATTGCAATTATTATGTATTATTTGTATTGTATCAAACATGCTTATTTATCTAACATATTTTTAAATTTTTGTTGTTATAATTAATTTTATACATAATAATAAATATTATAAGATAAGTAATTAAACTTAATAATAGAAGAAAAATTATAAGTTTAATAAGATAAAATAATGAATAAAAGAAAAAAAAGTCAAGAAAACTTAAATATTATAGGTTTTTAATAATTATAAAACATTTAAATTGGATCTTTTCATTTCTTCTATATCTTGAATTCTAAATCCAAAGTTGCGATATTAATTAAAATTTTGTAAAAAAAATCTAAATTTAATGTGTAAATAACTATTGACTAATAGAATATTATTTATAAGCGATGTAGGTTAAAAAAAGATTCTAATTTTTAATTATCTAGATAATTAAACCATCCAATTAAGTTCTCTTCTTGCATTTCTTATCAATTTATTTTGTATGTATTATACAACATACAAAACCATCTTTTACATCATAGATATATTCATTGTTATATAAAGTAATGTCAACCATTTAATCACCTTAAGAAATATATATATATATATATATATATATATATACATATGGAATATTTTTTTTATCAATTATATTATATTAAAATATAGATTTATCCTTATTTAACCATAAGTTGGAATACAAAGAATTGGCACTTATATTGATTTATAGAAATACTTCAAGAATCATTTTTATGTGACTTTGATTGGCACTTCTAAATTTTGTGATACCATATTATTAATTGATGTTTAAAAAAATGTAAGTGTTAAGAATTTATTAAGTTATTATTTTTTTATTTTACAAAAAAATCAAGTATAATTATATTTAGCTGATAAAAAAGAATAATAAAAAATATTAATGATTAAACATAGTAGCTTTAATTTGTTCACATACAATCATCTCCATACATAACAATGGATCACCATCACCTTATATTATAGCTATGATGCCAAAATATAATATAAGAAACCAATATTGCAATGCAAAGATCTACATTTTGTGTTCCATCATCCAAAATCAAATCTAAGTTGTTAACTTGTGCTATTAATGAAAGATATTATAAGTCTCAATTTTTGTATGGATTGATTCTTTGAAAATACCAATTTTTATTTATTATAGTTAGATAAAATTTGGGAGCTATTTATAATATGGTGGATTTTACTATTTCTAATGTTTATGTTATATTAATATATTTGAAGAAGAAATTAGAGTTGGGATTGAGGTTGTAAAGACAATCACCTCCAAGAGCCATGCATTTCTATGACTATGTAATGGATATCTCTATTGAAGTTTTATTTGTCTCATAGATGAAGACCACCAATTAGTCTTTTTATCATCTTCAGCATTTCCAAAGCCAAGTATAGAAAGCCTTGTTTGGCCTGACTTGGTCTCACCCTAAATTTTTTACTTTGCACTTGTGCTTGTTGAAAGGCTAGTATCTTTTCTTTTCTTTTCTATGTATTTTTATATAGTATAATATTAGTTTTTTTGGTAGAAGTAGTGTTAAGATTAAAGTAGTTGATAGAGGCTTATGTGTTCTTTGTGCTTGTCTAAAAAATAATTAGGTATCTATATTCCTCTAGATTAGATAGTGGTCCAATAAGGGTTTGGTAGATTGAATGGATTGCAGTGTAAGTATAAGTATTTGAAGTTAATATCCTTAGGACTAAGTTAATCAATAAGTTGAGATAACTACAAGTTTGTTTGGATGGTTTGAATTAGTAGTTACTTAATTTATATATATGTTTCAATAATGATTTGCATTTAAGCTTGAGTTGAAAGATCACATGTTTTGCTGAGTTATTAGGTAATTTTTGTATTTTTCTTTCATTGAATGTTTCTTGAATTTTTTATTTATTTAAGTTTCTACCAAATTACATTTTTTTATTTTTTATTTTTTATTTTTTTTTAAAGAGCATTGTTATTGCCCAATGTTTATATTATGGCAGTATAAATAAATGTCTCACTCCTTCTTGATGATTAAACATTTTGGCATGGAATTAATATTAGGTATAATATTAGATTACTTTTCTTTTAGTTTTTAAAATTATATTTTTTAAAAAAATATTAACTTTACTTATTAAGATTAAATTTAGATAGTATAATATTTTATTGATTAGAATTTTTTGCCTTGTTATATCCTTCCTCTTTAATTTTAATTGTATTTATATTTATTATTATTTTTTATTCTTTGAAAGATTACAATGTCTCTATTATTTTAGTATAATATTTTAATAGTAATATTACAAATAATCTTAATTATTTAAATATTTTATGATATTTGATTTGTAAAATTGATTTTAAAAGTATAATAGAAAAGAATCAAGCCTATATTTGAAATGAAGAATTTATAAAGTTTTATATTTAAGATTAGTGTGCTTCGGTTATTTTAGTATATTAATATATATAACTTTTTTTTCAACTAATGTTAAAAAATTTGATAATATATCTTACAATACATATATTTTTGATAAATATATTTTATTGAGATTTTTTATATAAGAACATAACTACTAAATTATGAAAAAATTGTAGAATATTCAATTTATAAGAATTTATCTAGTTTTTATAGATATTAAAAAAAGATAGTAATAGTAGAGATCTTCCTTGGTCTTTATAGAACCATCTTTATTGAATTATACAATTAGGCCTCTAGCTCATCACATTGATTTGACATTGTTCATTTCATATTATATATAGAATATTTATGTATATTCTAAAATTTAGAAAGTGAATACTATGAACTACACATACCTTTGTGTGATGATTTTTCATTATTATAAAGACTTCAACTTTATTTCATCACTTGTAAGACAAGCTTCAAAACTTTAATATTAAATCATGCACCTTTCAATTGAATATCAATTGGTCAAAATCCAAAAACAAAATATCAATAGATTTTAGAATATTTTTAAATATGAAGCTTTTAGCCAAATGCATGTAGTTTATCTTAACAATTATAAATTTTTAGAATCTTTTTCAAATGATGCATTCAAATTTATACGTTAGATAGATTCACATCAAAAGAATTGTAAAAATTTAAAATAATTGACAATCAACTTGTATAGCTTGATATCTATAAGTATCTTTTGTCTTATAATTTTTTAATATTAGAAGTACTTCTTAAGAGATATATAACTTTCATATCTTTAAAAGAACTAATAATCTATTAGTGTACCAGCTTAAAAAAATATCAGCTAGAATTGTAAGCTTAGCATTTAAGAAGAAGCTAGACATATGTAGATGTGAGGCTTTGGAAGAGTTTCCAAGTAGATTAGAAATTCTTATTATATTAGAAGATTTGGATTTTTTCAAGTGTAGAAAATTCAAAAGTTCTAAAAAAAATTTAAAAACTTGATATGTTTAAAAAATTGAGTATGTAAAAATGTGAAGCTTTGAAGGAGTTTTTAAATGAACTAAAAAATCTAATTACATTGGAAGAATTGAATTTCTTAAAATACAGAAATTTGAAAAAATTGCAAGAAGGGTTTAAAAACTTAATATGTTTAAAGAAATTGAGCATGTAAAAATGTAAGGCTTCATAAGAATTTCCAAGTGGATTGAGTAATCTTATTGCATTAAAAGAAAAAAAAGTACAAAAATTTAAAGAAATTACAAAAAGGATTTGTAAGCTTGACATATTTGAAGAAATTGAGTATGGTAGAATGTGAGGCTTTAGAGGAGTTTTTAAGTGTGCAGAGAAATCTAATTGCATTCAAAAAATTGTGGTTCTACAAGTACTCAAAGTTAAAGAAGTTATAAGAACAATTTGGAAACTTGACGTATTTGAAGAAGTTAAGCATGTGGAATATACTTGCATAATACTGCAATCTATTTTGTCAAAATTTGGTTATTACAAAATTAGATATTGTTCCTCAAGTAATGATTTATCTTCATATATTGAATCATAGCAATTCAATCTAAAGAATTTAATTACATTAAAGCTATATAAAACTAATAAATATAACATATTAAAGATATATTGATGTAAAAAAATTTATACTAAAAAATAATATTATTTTATTATTTCAAATCATATTTTATTTTGATGATACTTAACTTCTTAATAAATTCAAATAATATGCTTTTTAACATTTTAAACTTATGTTTTATCATAATTTTCTTTATATTTGTATATTACATTCAAACTTGTCAAATCCAATACAATCACTAGATATGATTTGTATTGGATATTACAAGTAAACGGATTTTAAAGTCACATACTTCAAATGGTATTTTTTCTTGTGCCAAGTCTTCTTTATGCAGTCAATGTGGTTCAATAAAGTTTTTTGAACCTCATCCACTACCTCAAAAATACAACCATTGTTCTTTAGTCATGTGCATAAGAGACAATTAACATGCAACAAAGGTAATACTATAATGTGTAGTATATTTTAACATCTTCCTTGGAACATGCTTTATTATCTCTTTTAAAGTTGATAGCATGTTAAAGACAAAAAACCTTGCTTCAAAAATTGTAAACTTATTTGTTCTAATAGAGAAGTAAAAAAAACACTATTTTCTTTGTTTCTATCTTCCAACACTTGTATCTTTGTATAAATACTCTTTTTCTTGAATAAATAGTTTTGTAGTTCTTTATTATTATAAGTTATTACAGAATGTCATACTCAAGAAAAGCCCATGCACTTTGCAACTTCTATAATAAACAAAAGAAAGTAATATGTATAAGATTTGACAATATATCATTAATGACATAGAAGCAATTGGCATCTTGGGCCAAGGATAAATTTGATCTAGCAAAAGCACCTCCTCAAAGCACTATTTTTGAGATTTTCAAGAAAAAAAAGAATATGCCAATATGACCTCAATGAGTTTGAATATGAAGCAACATTATACAATGAACCAACTAGAGCTAGACAATGCTTTGGTGCTAAGAAATGTTATCAAAATTGTGGAGGAGCATCTGGAAAATGATAGAAGGCATGTTCTAAAGCATTGAGAAAGATACAAAGTCAGGTCCACAAGGAAACAATTGCTGAGGAATAAGGTTGCTTGATTCAACGGTCTCTAGGCAGCTTCTTTCTGTAGGAATGAGAAAACTTAATACATTTTGTACCTGAGACATCTGATTTTTCCTATTGCATTGATTGGATATCAAGTATCGGTGATTATCAATTAGGGAACCGAGTCAGTGGACTGAAATTGTATTGGCTATTGCAGCATATTGGATATAACAGCATTGGATTTGACAAGTTTGACTGTATATCTTTTCCCCAGCATTCTCAATGAGTGACTTTTTTGACATCCTTCATTCACAATACCAATATTTACAACAACAATGTTTTGAGCATTAACATACCTTCAAAGCAATGAAAACTAGTACATTACAAATGACATCTGCCACACACCATCACTGTATTCAATTGAGCCATTATCCTCATGTGTAAGTGCAATTGTACTCATATTTCTAATTCAGATGGTATGACCAATGATCATCCTACTTAAGTGCATCACCATGGCTACTAATAGTCTTTCTTTCTTCTTTTTGTGTTGCATGCAACTTGCATTGACTCATAATGAAGTAGAAGAAGAATTCGCATACATCCAGTCTTGACATCACCCTGACATCCAACGCAAGTTAGGAATGACAAGTAAACTTTGTCCAAGGCTTCGACAAAACTGATGCGCAAAATTTACTTGAAAGATACTCACATGGAATGCTCAAACAGTTGCGTTCAAGCCATTTGCTGGTGTTTCCAGCGCCCCACTCGCCATCCTCAACAATCTGTACCATTTGATACAGTGGTGGCGGAAGTGGTTACCGGCGCCTTAAAACACTGAAAACATTCTTGATCCTGTGGAAACAGGCCATTGAGCTTTCGACTCCAACCGACCTACCTCGCAGGATTAGTGTACATGGATGAAATAAATTGCTAAACAAACTTACACGAAGACATGGAATACCTGCACATTTAATCTATTTAACAGAAGACATACGTCTCAGAGAGGTCAAATCAATGCTCCTCACATGTTGACTCGAAGGAAGCTTTAAATGTGCACCCACAGTGGAGGAATACCAGCGAATCTTGGTACTAAGGATTCATATGGGTTGTTGGAAATTAGAGTACTTTCGAACCTAAAGGTGTTGTTGGGTAGCCGTTGCGTCTTGCAGATGTTGAAATGCGCCTACTCAACAAAGCTGAGGAGAAAGCCACTGACAATGCGTCTGACCAATGTATTAGGAATGTGGCGGCACAAACGACCATCCAAATAGGCAAGCCCACTAGATAATACAAAGTTGGTAGCGGCATGCCGCACGCGTGGCAACATCCCAACGTTCTCTTGTTGTGGTTGAGGCTCCTCTTTCTGGACAGGAACTATGGCTTTCTCCTCCGTTGTGGCTTTCTCCTCTTCCCCTCTCGGGAAATGGAAATACTTGGTTGCCTGCTTCCGCAAGCCCTGCACGGCGATGACCACTAAGAGCTGCTCGCAGAGTGCAATCATTGCAGGGCCCAGACGTCTCTCCTGGTTTTGCCATGTCCAGACCAACTTATCAGATCTCATGTTGTATAAAGTAATGAAATTAGTGAGAGACAATTGAAAATGGTTGAAAGCTCAGAAGTTTACGTTACGATCATAGTTTCACATGGAAGGGAATCTGGCTCACATTGTCGCCTTGAAGGCGCCGGGTTGGTCGTGCAGTGGCAAGGGAAGAGTCTCCAGCAAGAAGGCCTTCTGCTATTAGAAACTTCTTAACAGCGCTAAGTATCTCTTCCATGAGAGAAGTATTTGGTGGCAGATTCCTTAGCAGTACCTGCAATAGATTCCATGACAAAGCGAACAATCAGATTTGTGAATCTAATCTTCAAATTTCGACGACCACAAAGGGCCAATAATAGATTAAAAATATTTTTAATGTTTTCTAAAAAATGCGGGGGCTTAAAATGGCTAGAAGCTACCAGTGCATCTATCCAAGAATTGAGTGCACAGCTCTGAAAGACACTAACTCGAGTAGAACTAACAACAAATCGCTTGCTAAAGCTTCTAGAAAATTCAGTTCCAAAATTATGAAGGAACGAAATGTAAGAGATGATGAAAACTGCCTCGATGAAACACTTCACCTCAATGTTAATAAAAAGAGAAACGCCATCATACCTCTTCATCTAGTACTTTCACCTTCAAGTAGTCTTGCCTGAACATTGTATCCAGCATAGCCTGCAAGTAACCCTCGATATAAACCTGCACAATTTTTGTGAACAGTCCACATCGTTCTCAAATAGGATTTGTAGATACAATCGTTGATCTACAAACTTTTACGTTGATAAACCAGTAACTATCCTCTCTGCCTTCCTGGATCAGCGCTCCTGAGATATGCTACCACTTTCTACTCCACAGCCCGACTTTATACGCAAAACACACCCCCACATCTCCCCAACCAAACTTACACACGTGCACAAACGCGCACATAAAAATATAAATAATAACTCTAGAATCTTAGGAGGAAATAACTCACCTCGTCCATACCAACAGTGTGATCCAGTTTTATGCGCCTCGTAGCACCCCCCTGCGCAACAGCACTGCGAAGAACTGCAGGCCGCATAGCGACATTCAAGATGCCCCGTCTGAATCCGCTTAACTGCGATAACAGTTTTAGAATACATGCGAGTTAGTTCACAAGCGAATTATCACATCACAATTTTTTCTAGCGCCAGAGAATCAAAAAGAAAAATGAAATATGCGAAGGTCATATCCTAAATGACTTTAATTGGTCACTTGCTTCTTGCTCCAAACAATTTGAACTGGAAAAAGAAGCGTATGAAAGAAACCTATACAGCGGTAAAGCTGCAAATAGTTTAGAGTACAATATAACTTACAAAAAGAGTAATAAAAATCGGCTGAGAATCAAGTATAAAACATTACCAAACCATCCAAACCACTCGTTTCAGCCCCCTTGAGTACACTGTCTGAAATTTCAGTAACTACCGCAAAAAGAATGTTTGATCCGGCCGCTTTCACCTATCAAAATCCACCCAGAGTAGTTGCAAAGTCAACAGAGTACCAGCCGTTTATAATAGAAAGAGAAATTGATTTTGACTCTATACAGTTACACATAAATATATATATATATATATATATATATATAGTCACACACTCACACAATAAACACGTATCTTAATGCACTTACTCCATCACGTTTGCAAACCATTACATTCCAACAAACAAGAATCTAAAGCCATACCGTATGCTCAACGTCACCCAAAAGGCGGCTTGTTCCTCCTTGTCCTTTCTTTCGCAAGCCTTTGCTAAGAATATTAAACATTCCTAAAAATTGAAATGACACAGATAGTTCAAAGAGAAAGTTAAGAGATCGGTAAAAGCCATCACGATACGTGAGCCGTATTTGGTGTATGCAATCACCATGCCCAACGTAAGAAGATCGTAAACGTTAATACAAACACTAGCTGATAATGATGTGTACCTAGAGTGAGACCCTGCACGTCGACTGAGCCGTTGGATGGATCAAAGAATACGTCTAAACTTGAGGCAGCAGAATCATCAAACAATGAAGCAAAAGCTGGCGGTAATAGTGAGCTTCCTCTTGCAATATAGATAGCCCGCATTGCATACCTGCAAAATGCATGATAATTTCAATGCCTCACATATTGGATTGTTCTTATTCTCCCGCTTTCGTTGAAGCTGGAGTACATTCTAAATCATGTGTCAAATTCAATGGGAAAATATTACATAATGCTGGTGATTACCGTTGTATAAATTTATGATAAAGCAACGTTGCAATTATCCCCAATATTATACCGCATAATCGGGCTAACTGGACAGTAAGATATTTTACCAGGAATAATGTTGAGCACATTTCACAGCAAGCTGTGCGTATGTAAGCAGCGCATTGGATAAAAGCACTCCATTTAGTTCAACCTTAAAACCTCGGACAGAGGGTACCTGAAAAGCACTTGCAAAGACCGCAAAGGTTAGGTCCTAAAATTGAAACTTGAGCTCACCTATTTCTGTAAATACTGTAAATATACTGCGAGGGAAGACTGAAACTTGCACCGAAAATAAATAAATAAATAAATAAATAAAAGAAGAAGAAGAAGAAAAGAAAAGAAAAGAAAGAAAGGAAAAAGAAAAATCATAGTAAAGTATACTACACTGTAAATGGAATCATGATCAACAAAATAGACACCACAAATAGTGCACATTACCTTGATTACTGTGTGAAGTAGGCCTCGCAATGTTTCTTGTGCAGAGGTATAGTCTGTTCGAGGACTCCCTGGTGTGAAGCTTGCCAAAATCTGTCAGAGTACATCACCCCTCATGAGGACTCTGGATGGAAGATTCAAGTGATAGAATACACTAACCAAACAGAGATTGCAAACGTCGTGTGTCTTATTCCTCCATTATAGACATCAAAGGCAATACTGGATTCGTTGTAGATGAGAAAATAGTTTAATTTGTCATAGGAAAAGGCCCCAAAGAGAAGTCTACATAAAAAATACAAAGAAACAAAACTAAACACAATACACAAAAAATCCCTTAGTTCTACAACAACCGACTTACTTTAATGGGATGTATTTCGAAACGTTCATAATAAATGAGACGACTGGGTCCCGTCGACGGAGCAAGCGAAGTCCGGTAAAACGGCGCTAACTTCATCAAAGTGTCTTCGTCAATGTTGAGGTCTACAGCCTGCAACAACCAGTTATTATTTTGATACTTTAGGGAGCAAATAAAAGCCTTGTAGAACTGACACCTTTTTACAGTTGTCTAACAAAGAAAATTGCTTGCTATCCCCATGTCCTCCAAATATGTGTAGGATTTGGTTAATGTTCTACCCTCGTAAGGGAACAAATTCGTATTTAAGGACTTGACCTCAAACACAGCCATGAACATAAATCACTGCATAAAGGTATATTTATAAATTTCAGAATACCCGTCAAATAGTGTTCAGTCAATGAAATTGATGAGAACCTGCAAGAGAATGGATAAATAGTGAAGTTGGATTGGATTGGTTCCTCTGTGTGCAACCACACACGCCATATGCAACACCGTTTGGCCCTCCCTGTCGTCACCCTTTGGTCCATGAACTCGCAGCATGTGCTTAACCACTGATCCCTGCCACTTCACGTCCACATCCAAGCGCTGACGAGCCCAAAAGCATATCCATACAGCCATCAGTAAGACGAAAGATACTTTCTAGTCTTCTATATTTATTTTTATTTTATGTTTGCAGTTAAGTTTTTAGTTAGAAAGTAATTAAATAAGCTTTTCTTTCAAAAAGATTATTTAGAAAAATATAACACATCTAAGTAGTAGAGTCTATTCTTGTATCACAAAGAAAACAAACACAGATCTACAAGGCAGATTACTTTGATTTTCTACAGGGCATTGATCAAACCACTGCAACAGAATGCGTCCAGATAATGTCGATGTAAATAAATAAGGGGGTTAACCAAAGGCAATAAATAATTTTAGAGGATAATAGTTAAAGGGATCACGTCACCTCAACTTTCAGCTGGCACAAAGTGCACTCTTCAACTACTACTCCCTCGACGAAGAGATTTGTGATGCGGGCAGCAATAATTGGTGCATATAAGACACGCTTTTCAGTCGTTTGGTCTCCCGCTTCTGTCTCGTCCGCAGACGCATCGTTCCTCTGTCACCATCGCCAAGTAACTAATAGTTTAAGATTAATTCACATTAATGTACAGCATATTACGCTAAGGGTCAAGCTTAGACTTATTGAGGACTAAGGATCAACAAAAGGAACCTTGCCCTCGAACAAATCAATGAATATTCAAGACCAAGAATTTGACAGAACACAGAAATATCAATGCTGCAATTACCATGATCAGATTAAATACCGCAGATGACGACCTATGTTGGAAGGGACAAGTCGAAAGGGCTAGGAAGGTTTTCAAAAAAGGAACACAATAATATGAGGTCTTTCTCAGATGTCCGCCAGAACAAAGAAGCAGAACGATTGAACACACTCTGGAACATCTTCAAATTGAATGATGTGCTGATTTATTTTACCTGTTTAAGCGGTTCAACAATAGTGAAATAGAACAGTGGAACCTTCACTTCCACCTCCGTCTTCGGTCTTCGCATATTTGTCTGCCACCCAGACTGCTTATTTGCATCACTGTCTAGGCAGACTCGTAAAACTCGAGTAGGTCCATCAGCAGCAACTTCATAACCGACATTTAAAAATCCAGCACCTGTACTGCTGTCGCCTTCATACTCAGAGTCCTTTGAATCATCTAGGAATGGCAATTGAAATTCAAAGACCTTACTGCGCCTTGCAGCACCGAAGCGCTTCCACTCCCTAATTTTGTCCATATTGATGACATGACAGAGTTGAGTTCCTGTGCAAAACATTGTTTCAGAATTAATAGTAGATATGAGGTGTACATGTGAAGAAAAGTCCCGGCACTAAATGAACTCAAATTTCAGAATAAAATCTATCATAACATAGATCTTTGAAAATAAAACTGACTCAAGACACACACACACACACACACACATACACACACACGTTTATATATATATATATATATATATATATATATATATTCACAGCTTTTTTGGCTGTGGAAGTTAGATTTGAAGAATTCCGCTAATATTTTTGTAATAAAATAATCAATCGCCAAAAGGAATGGAAAAATTGACTGAATATTTTAAAAAAAACCCAAAATGACGATTAAACGCTAATGTACTGTATTCTCCTTTCCTAAAACCTCCACTTCCACCCAACTGAGCAGATGTTTATGTTAGAAGTTTGCAGTTTACAACCATATGAATACTCTGAACAGATTTTCCATCAAAGTAGCAATTCAATGCACTGTGAAAACCGCATATAACAATATAGTACAAATGGCCAGCTTCAAGGCCCTTAAGATTCATTCTAGTTAATAAATATTAAGTAGGAATGTGCACATTCTAGGAATCGGACTTCAAGTCACCTTGTATCGTTACGACAAGCTTGTGCGGTAATGCCAAGTCGTCCCAAACATAACTGACTGAGGCTCCTGGCTCGAGCACCTCTTTCTGTGTTAAACCCTGTGAAGACGGACAAACAAGCAAAAATAAAATAAACTAAATATAAATGTGAATATGCTTTTATAAAAAATAAGCGCAAGACATCACGTATCCATCACTCTACGGTGCATATCCGAGTTGTGAAGAACGTCAAATATTATCGACTGATTAAAAAGGATAGTGCTGCTCTTCATCACCCCTAAGCCATGGAATCGAAACTAAAGTATTCCAAACATAACTTCTAGCAGCTGTGTTGAAGGCGGAGAACTCTAATTTTAAAAAATGAAGAAAAATGTAGAATATAATATTGGACTGCCACTAACTACTAAACAATCGATACAAGGTATAAAATGAATAGTTACCTTTTGACTGTAAGATAAAGCGCCCGAACGCAACGCATTCTCAATACGATACGGGATAGAATCGGCTGAATGCTTCCGGAAGCTCATTATAAGAGTTGGGCTGTCTTCCTGCACCTCTGCAAGTGCGAACAACATTCTGCCTTTCGCTTGCTTCGAGAAACCCGACTGTCCTTTTCGTCGAATTTTGATCCAGAAGGAACCCAGGGCAGCAGCACAAACAGATCCAGACCAGTCCCATTCAGAGTCTCGAAGTCTAAAACGCACTGAAAGTGGGGCTTGGAAGGGGTTCTGACCATCATCGTCTTTAGACTTTCCATCACTTTCATTTGATGAAACTCGGTAATGTAAAGCTGTTTTTTCGCCAGGATTAAGCACCATGACAGCGGAAGTATCGTTCTGAAGCAGGGTCGCATCACGTGTCATGCACACAATCGCAAAGAACATTTCAAACGTCAAAATAATCCAAGAAAGATAAAAAATTTAAGCCTGTAGATGACAGTATTCACAACTGGCCGACTAGCCGTCTTAATGTCGGCATATCAATTTTGTTGCGATTTCGTTGCACAGAAAAACTAACCTGAAATCCATCTTGACAGACGCAGATGACATCCTTTGATTTGTTTACGACAACGTAGCGAGGAGCAAGGTGAACGGTACTTGTCGGATTATTATCACCAACAGCGGGAAGCTGCAGCTCTACTCCCAACTGGACACGTTGATCGGCGTGTTCCTGACTTGAAACTTTGAGACTAATCTCTGTTGATCCCGCCAAATTGTAAAGATCCAGTATAGCAGGTTGAGCTTCTGGTAGGACTTGTTTAAACATCACTTTACTTGACCTGTGACAATCATTGAGAAGGATCTCGAAGTTAACTCATATCGTTGGATCTCAAATGGAATTTCAACCAATGAAGGCAATAAAATACAACTAACCTTTACTTGTAGATTCCAAAGGCAAGAAACGCTGCACAATGATTTCACTCATTTGAACACAGACTAACGCGTAAGATCCAAAAATAAGTATTTTTGTAATTAATTTAGTAAAGAACAACAAGAACAAGGAGCAGAATTTTTGAAAAGACACGCACTTATTGAACCAAGAAACTCTTGAACCAGGTTGAAGGGTAGATGCTGTTTCATCCGAAGGCCATTCCAAATTATCATCGTCAGATTTTCGACCCCTTCTCCTGAAAATATAAATGCAGATTTGAGCTAAATAAATTGCCATGCAATCCCTCCTACGGAAAAAGCTCATTGCATTTAGATCGAGAAAGGATCCCTAACTAGCAACTGAGCATATCATGAAACAATGAATATTGACAGTTAAACCAATCTAACAAAGAAGATTATTGAACTCCACAATGAGTGTAAATTTCGAGAGGCAGGCAGAAGTAACCAATCAAATCTAAAAGTCTTATTCATTCAAGAGAGTCTGATAATGCAGTCACAAAAAGCATAGCTTTTCATGTTCTTCAATACTCACCAAAGATAAGAGCTTTTCTGCTTTGGAGCACAGTAAAGAAGCGGAACGTGGCTGTCATTGTGAAATGCATACTTGGTGTAGAGTACCACCTAATATCAAAACATCAAATCATTAGATGATATTTCAAGTGAATAGTAATGAACAATACATAATCACCACTTAACAGTACCATGGGATCTAGACCATCGCATGCCATACATACATAGCACTGCCGATTTGTCCTCCTCAATTTTTTATATCAAACATGTAAATTGTTGTACTGCAGTAATAATGCACCGAAGTAGAGCATAAAGGATGAAACACGCCAAAAATACGAGACTCAGGAGATGAAAGATAAAAGACAAAAGACAAAAGCAGGAAAAGAAACATACAAGATTCGCCACAAGAGACATACCTCAAGGACACCATCATCACCTTGACGAACAATCATCTTTCCATAATGAGCACCATCACCAAAATCCACATCCAGCTCCATTTCACGCAACGAACCTCCTTCAATTGAGGCATCAGGTGATTTCATTTCTCGGCCAAATATTGGTATCTGCTTGCTTGTCAAACCTGATTTCTGGTGCTTAATGACCATTGACAAAACTCCAAGGTCTGCATACATTAGCGCCATCTTTCCTGCTGTGACAATGACTTCATTTTGGGGCTGCAGTTGACTGCCGGCTTTACCTCTAGCCATACCTGCAATTATAGACAATTTTCGTCAATAATACAGCGTCTAGATAGACGTCCCAGTGCAACTGTAAATAGTCATCTCCAAAGTCTAGGACTTTTATGGGTATGCTATACATACTACACTTTATTTCTTTCATCTTTCTGTTACAAATCCTTGGATCTGTACGCTGTTGTAACGTGCAAAGCTGGTTTGGATTCAACATGACTAAGTACAATATCTTCACACAAGCTTCTTATTCCTGAACGAAAAAAGTTTCAACCACGAATAATGGAAAAGATTCAGAAGCTACACTATTCCTATCCTAGCCCTCATTGATATCAACTGCCTTTTCAAGAACTTGATGCAGATACAGCATTCCTAGCACTTTTTGCAGCTTGAATCATTATAACAACAATAAAATGTCTTGATGTAAGAGCTACCTGGAGCCAGAGCAAATAGCTTGGCGCTGACGTTTGATGTGAAAAGATTAAAAATTCGAATAGTAGGGAGTAGAAGAAGTTCTTGCTGCTCCTGCAATGCTATAATAGGCGGCTTGCCGTCTACTAAATCTTTGTCAAGCCTCTTCACTGGAACCTGTCTCCTTGATGTTCTGATCAGAAAATAAAGTCCCTGGCCATCTTTTTCTGGTCGTACTGCTGGGCAAAATACTATCACCAAAAAAAACACAGAAAACGTAATGAGAACCTACGATAACACGACAAATGGAAAAGGATCGCTGCAATCTTTGATAAATTCGGGCTCACGTCGTTCCCAGAACTCGATCAGAGCGATGCTTGTAATTTTCTACTAGTAAATCAGGATGGCCTCATAAAAACTAAGTAACCAACAATTTGTTGACAATATGTAATAATTTACACTTCATTGTAGTTGCTGATATAGAAAGTTCTAACTATGGTTGCATACAACTAGATTTTTGACAACCCAACAAGCTCCAGCAAGTGAGACAAAGAGAGACCAACCTGTTCCAAAAGCAACATCGGAATTTCGATCACCAAACTTCTTTTTGAAATTGTACTGAAACTTCTCAAACAAATTTGAAACTCGTACGGCCTTAGCTCCCTTCACGTCATCTGACCATTCATAAGCACTGGGAGATTCCTCTTCTTTTTCATCTTCAGCCGGAGCTGAGCCACTCGCAGGCCTAATGGAAAGAAGGAAATTTCCTTCACAACAGAGAGACATTTGAAGTAATTAATACAAGCATATCAAATAGAGCAGATTTCAATGAAGATGATGATTTAAGATGACAAATAATTAAGACAAGGCAATGTGGTCTAAGATCTTAAGCCATAAGTATTGCAACCATAAACTTATTATTCGTTCCAACTTACCAACGTTGAAAGAGGTCAAAGCTTTTCTTAGTTCTCCTTCAAGTTTTAGAGCATCAAAAGAGCCCATGCAATCATCAATTGTGTCACCATCCTCAAGTAGAACAATAGCTCCACTTCCTTCCTGTTTAGGTCGTCGGCATTGAAGTTCTAGAAATTTCCCAGTAGCATTACGTATCCGAACCATTGGAGAAACTGTCACGGATACTCCACCCTACAAGTTTACACACTTCAGAGGTTGGTCCTAGCACTCGTCCACAAGACGAGCAAGATGATATGCGAGATTAATCTGCATTATTTAAATGGTCCAACAATACTAACAGGAATAATCTCGTCATCCTGCAAGGTTGCCGATCCGTTACGCTTCTACTAATAAATGACACATTGACACGAAAAATGGCATCCACAACAGTTTCAGTTTGCACTGAAACTAGAAGAAAAGCATCCGTTGGTGTACTTACCTGACTCTGGCGCATGACATCAACAACCAAGATGGGCCCCGGGGCAAGATTCTTCCGGTCTGCAAAAAGAAGAAAGAAGGTGATTAAATACCCCCAAGTTTCCAAACCAAAATCATCTTCTTAGAAATTACTAGTAGGAGTTGTACCTTCACCAAACTGCAAACGAGTTCTCATTGCTTTTACACCAGGCTCAGTCAAAGACACTTGAACAACCGAAGACTGCCCACCGCCCTGCTTTTGCAAATAGAAATTAACTGTTGATGCCACCTCAGCTGATGATAAGTCCCGCCGTGAAGTAGTGTGCCTGCGTAAAAAGACAAAAATCATGGGTCATTAACTCTCCAACAAGACAGGTCAACAATGGGCTCAAATGAAAATAACTTTGTGTTTGCAATTGAACGATGCAATGGTTATCACTATAATGTAGTAATAAAACCAGATAGCCATTGAAAGAAATTACTATCTTTAAAAATCAACATCCGAAAGGCTTAAACAGTTGATGTATCTCAAAAGTAATCTCCCTTTTCGATACGAAAAAATTTGGCCATTATGTACCTGATGAGAAATGCATCTGCCTCCCAAGACTCAACTACCTCCTCTCGCCTTCCGTTCCCGTGATCAAAGCGGCATACCAGATCTAAACCTGTCTGGTTCTCTATCTACACAGATGAATAAATCTTAATCAGCTTGGGTTTATCATTTAAAAGGCTTGCAAATCTTTAGAATGTTAAACAAACCAACATTGATAAAAATATATGTTGAACCCGGGCTCTTTCCGATGTCCACACATGTTATATGCAGTGTGGAGAGACCTGGAAACAAAGAAAAGGATTCCATGAATCAAGGATAGGATACCTGGCAACGATTTGCTAATACTGGAGAATGTCTTAAGGTGTAAGGCCCAGCAAGATCAAGAGCTCCAATGAGAAAAAGCAACGTATCCAGCGACAACTCGCTTATGATAATGTCAACCTGTACAATACAGGAAACAAACTTGTTACTAGAACACAGATTAATTTACTTTTAACAATGCATCACGTGTAGAATACAGATGAGGATAGTTTTTATATTGTTTGATTGAAGGAGAGCCAAAACAAGATCCTTTGATTTGAAAGCACTGATTCCTCGTTCTGTAATATTTGACCACAGATATTGATAGTATCCACTTGTTCTGCTTACAAACGAAGGAGTCGGTTCTGGATTTGTCAAAATCTGTAGCCAAATGTGCAGTTGCATTTACTTCATCTCTTGACCACCACCTACACTACCATTGCAGTTCACATTCCTTTTCACAGTAGAGCCAATATCTTATTGTAAATTCGAAATGATGAAGGTTATTTCACAGGCATTAGCCAAAGCTATTCAGTCACTGAGAAGTGAATGATCAAAATAGAAACGAGAAAGATATATGTCGCAACGTGAACAACCACGAACCTTTCGCAGTCTACAGAATAAAGAAGTAGGAGTCTTTCTGCTTACGACACCTGCAGTCTCCATCTCATTCCGCGCGCGATGTAGTAATTCTATTCCAATAGGGTTGATTACCGCTACCCTGCAAGAAATTGATTCATGAAACAAATTAACACTTGAGAAAATTTCTCTCCAGAAACTTTCCAATAACAATACAAAAAGTTCTATCTTTACCTCCTTTACAGCAATCTTATGAGAACAGAAAGGAGGACCTCCATATTTCAGTCACGTCGAACTCAACTCGGCCTAAGCTAGTGAAGGAGCTGTGGCAAGGTTATAGACGTTTGTGGCAGCTACCGAATACTACATGACAAGTGCTTATCGTGACACGTGTATACAAGATATATGAATACACTGTACCAGCAGCAATTTTGAGCTTGGAAATAATCGAAAGAAATGCTGCACCCGAACAGTACCCTTGTCTTCCCAGATCCCATCTGCAACACCACCCCTATGTCCTGCATACAAAGTCTAACCAGAGGAAGCAGGTGCATGCCTCCAGAGGCTTCGTGCAACAGCGTGAAGGTAAAATCATTTACGTTACATGTCACATCAGGAATCACCGTTGCAGCTATAGCAATGTCGTTGAGTTGTTTATCACTGTCGACCTCATGACCATGGTCTACCTCATCTTTATCCCCATGCTCTAAAGACACAAGCTTCACAGCTTCAGGATCCTCTTTTTCCCGTGCAAGTATCCGCAACTTGAATGAACTACCTGGCCGCTTAACCAACATTGGTGAACCTTCAACGAGTGATAAGCCACATTTACTTTTTCGATTCACCAAGTGAAAAGCACGACGTCTGATCTGAAATCCGAGCTCTTCATTCCCTTCAGATTTCTCATCAGTTACTTCAATGCACTCCCAAAGCTCCAAAGATTTGTCGGGGGTGGTGGCAACCTCCGCCAACCCAGAGCCTGGGAGAAAATGGACCCGATAAGGCTCGCCATTGCTGTCGGCGGCATGAAGAGACAACAAGGAGAACCACTTGGTCTTCTCATTCTTATTCTTCTGGTACTTCACCTGCATTTAATACTTAGATAACTCTATAACCATTGACCAATAGGATCGAATATTTGCAGTTTGTCATCTAATAAGACGACCACCACAGACAACGCAGAAAGTACAAAAACTATTGCTTCATTCAAAGTCAAGGCACAAATACCTTAACTATTTGAATTCACTGAGGATGCAAAAAATTTAACCAGTGACAAGATTGAGTACCTTAAAGAGGGCCTTGTCCCCAACAAGGGAGTAATGCAAGACACCCGTAAGTCGAAAAGTGCCAGTTTTTGTGTCTTTCTCCTCCACAGCCAAATAATAGTGCTCATTCATATCCTTGATAGCTATAACAGCACCTGCAGGATGAACCAGAAGTCGGTGAACAATGAGGCATTTCAATGTGCACGATAATAGCCATAAAATGTGCGCTTTTTAAGCATCAAAATAGATCTCAGAACAATAACAAAGGTTAATAATAATGGTCAACAGGACAAGCATCTCCTCCATCAGCACGAAAGCAAATTCTGTCATGATCAAAACCTTGACCTTGCTAAGATATTGATTACAATTCTTGTAAGATTAACTAGCAAATATGTATTACGAACATCCTGAAATTGGAAGAAAGTCGGTGAGCTCACTTACCATCTGGAAGATAAGACTCCGTGTTAGATGCTTCTTCTTCAAGTTCTCCAACTTGACTCTTCGTAAATTCATAATCTGGCTCTGACAAATTGGAAGTGCTGGAAGAGCTTGAGAGTCCAGATAACGGTGCTGTGACATTTAACAATAGCTGTGTGCGGTGCAGGAGTAACACCGGTTAGTATAGAAACTCAATGAACAGTTAGAACAATAATGATGACTGAAGAGAAAAATAAGGTTACAAGAAAATCACAAGCATTAAAAGCGAAAGCCGATGCACTGTAAACTACAGTTCCACAACTGAAGGACGATAAATGACAAAACTACCCCAACATGTACAATTAGAGATGCTAAACTGCATACAATAGGCCCAATCAATGAGGACGTCGATGAAAGATCAAATATAGTACCTGAACTTCTGATGTGGTTATTGCAAAATCAAGACCTACCACAGAGCAACTTCCTTTCCACGAATTCCTCCATTTCCAAAAATCCGGATGGTTATCAGCTGGAACCTTCTCCATAAAAGCCGTAATCGACAATCGCTCCAGAATATACGAATGAGATTCATCAAAAGGTTTCCAAGCACCATTATCCACCACAGGCTGCTCGTTCAAGTCATATTCATCGTTGCCATCTTCCGACATACCAGATGAAGATGGTGTCAATGAATAACTGCTAGGTTGAGATCTATGAGAACTCTGACCAAGTCCACCATTACCGGTACTCGCTCCACTAAAATTGTATCGAAATTGCGGAGTTCGGGTGCTTCTGCTGCTAATGCGACCAAATGTACGACCTTGGAGACCAAAGATAGAGGCACGCGAAATAGCCGCTGAAATTTGTAATACACTCCCATGCTTGAATTTAGCTTCAGCTTTAGTATCCACCTCCATGATGAATCCCTCGACCGGAGCTGCAAAGAAAATCCCGGCATGTCAACTCAAGCATGTATCATGCGATATTACATCCAGAAGTGAGGAGCTTCGGCAGGATTATCATGAGTTCAACTACTGAGAACAGGCAACTAATCAGTAGTCTATAAATCGACACCAGGAAAGGCACTTCTGAATCCAAAAGATTTAACAGATGAAACAAGGTAAGAGCAGAAGTATACACACTTACCCATAATAGACGTTCCACGCTGCACAAGGACAAGGGATAAACCAACAAGATCTGCACTTAAGTTGCCGTCAAAACCTTTCTTTGGCACCACTTCTGGCATAAGTTCGGTTGCAACTTGCATTCGCCGAGGAGCCGAAACCAGTCGCCGCATCTGTGCAGGTTTCTTTGTCGTGGCCCAAGGTGGGAGCGACACTGACCGTCCAGTAGTCTTTAGACTAGAACTTGGACCGTCTACATTATAAGACTTCTGCAGGGCAGATACCTCAGGAAATTCACGAATATTGGAACGAGATGAACTTGCTGGTCCACTCAGCAATGCAATGTGAGCATTAACATATTCAAAAAGGCTGTGCAAAGCACTTGTTTGAATTATAACCAATCCTCCCTGCTCATTGTAACCATTTTTCATGAACGGCAAAAACAAAACTGGTCAGATAAAGATGAATCAGGCCCACGAGAAGATAGCATCATTATTTAAATATCATGGCTACTTAACCAGATGTTCACTAACAGTAAACCAGTGTCTATTGTAGATACACTAGATGTAGTTCACTAAAATCTACTGATTAAAATGAGACTTGACTTATCCATGAGTGTTGATAGATACTTCTAGACACATCCAAACAAAGTACTTCCGAAGAAATTGGGTGCAACACAGCCACTAATCTTTAGGTGAAGCACACGCCCCATGAACCTCGTTGAGAATATCGAAGATAAATAACCATGATTTAAGGCGTAGAAACTTGCCTCAACATCCAGAGTGAAATTTCTGGAATCTTTGCCAAGCTTAAGCTTAATGTGGAGTGTACTACTTCCAGTCACGAGTAGCACGATCTTATCACCGAGAGCTTCCCTCAAATCATCAGTAACAGTAACACTTCCAACGTCCACGCTCACAACTATCCAATGAAGCTCATCACCTCGACTATTCCCTAAGAAACCAAATGGCCTTGTCAGATAGCCTGTACAATAATAATCATTGCCAAACAAGGAGCATCTAGAATGTAATGAAACATCCACTTAAACGGTATCAAAATAAATAAATAAATAAACTGAAAAAGAATATCCAGTTAGTAGGAACACTCAAAAAACTGAAATCAGAGGCTATAGGTTGCTTCACATCTAACCTGACGATTCAATATCTGTATCCTCGTTATTGTGAATTGATCCGTTCATGCTGCGCACTTCGTGTTCATATTCTTGCTGGTGAGAGGCAGAATCCTTTCCACTAGAGTCAGCCATCGCATTAGCGGGTGCTAATGAAGTACCCTACAATCATGGAATGATTGATCAAATTGATGCATACATAACACAAACAGCATCTCCTACTCAAATGAAAAGTGCCGACAAATGCCGGAATGGCACAATTGAGCACTTGTAGACAAGTGCACCTTCATCCATGCTTTCTGGCTCGAACTGTTAAACAAAAAATAATATTTAGCACATGTAAAAGACACGAGCATACACACACACTCATACGGTTACGTATATATTCCGGCAATAATATGTCATTCACAACCATATTCAAGCGGGTATTGTGTAATACTAACCGAATGGGTTTTTGAATCAGCGAGAGTCCGATACAAACTGGATTGTCTATTCACTTGTCCAAGGAGTTTTGGTCCAGAGATCACAATTTTTGAACAATCCAAGGCAAATCCAGTTTCGGATATCTGGAACAACGTCATGACATCAAGTACAGTACCATCTAGAAGGCTCTTGTACAACGACTGCTGTTGATCAGCCTTTTGAAGTTGGCTTTTAACAACACCCATGTGTGCTCCATTTAATTGGAAAGAAACCTGGGTTGCGTAGCCGTCACCCACAGACATATCAAGTGAAATTGGAAGAGTTGCGAAGTAACAATATCTCCCTTGGCCTGGAAAACGAGTTTTGTCTCCACCCCGGCCATCACCATGAATACGTGTTTGTCTCCCATGTGAAGAGCTCACACGACCGTAAGTAGCATTTTGTCCGGTAGTGCCACCATTTATCCTACGATCCCCTAACACAATCTGAATAGCTTCTAGCTGGAGATTGAGAAATAAAACAAATAATATCTTTGCGGGCGCTTCTGAATTGACTTCTGGATCGGATGTTTGTCTGATTGGGTGTTGTTCACTTGCAGTATTTCTTAAAAAATCCGCTGAGGATGTATTGTCAATGCCAGGTTGCTTCTCGTCCAATTCGCTAGGTGATCCAAATCCTTCCAGAAGAGCATTACCGAAGTCAATAATCTGCTTAGCATTACAACACATCGAATGATTTCAAGGGATATTAGTTCATGTGAGATTGAATCCATAACCTGTATTTTGAAGTTCATTGTCACAAAAGCAACACTGAGGACTATAAAATAGTACTATGTAGACAATCCCTTCACAAAGCTACAACATTGAAATATAAGTAATGTCTACACTTCACGAGCATGTCAATGATTATAAGAAAGAAAGTACCTCTTGGAATATTGTCATCTCCTCTAGGTACAAGTGAAGGGCAAACGGTGCCAACCTTCCTTCGAGTGAAACGGCAGCAGACTTAATGACCCCCTTCTGTGAGTACAAATTATCTCTACACATCCGTAACCATTATAATGAGCACAGATTAACGAAGCAAAAGCTTCCTAAACTTTGGGGTATGAATATGAAGTATTTTTGTTCACATTCTTCACAAAATACTACTATCCAACCTATGAAAGCATGTGAAACAAATTTACACGAGAACCAACCCGTGCCAGCTTAACAACAAGTATTATCTAATAAGATGTGGCAGAAAGCCACTTCAAATGAGACTACATAAACAATGTAACAGAATATTAGAGTAATATACTTTCAGAACAAAGTATTATAGATGAATAAAGTGTGGATATAAATTAAGAACCTGCAAAATGATGACTGCATGCGACAAGAAATAGGTCCCAGAACCGGCACAGTCGTTTTCCTGTTGCGATCCGTCCGAAGCATCACACCCGCATCCTCAAAAGCGAAGTAAAGGTTGTTGCCGACTTGCTCTTCTTCTGACCCTAGCGTTTCTGCTGGAAAATCTGGTGTAGGGGGTCTTCTCAGCCATAATTTCTCATCCACACACTCATCCCACCATCCTAAAGGTGCAGCGTCTTTCACGGGTACTCTAGCCTCAAGTTTCGATAGAGCTTCCTTCGAACTTGCAGGCCATGTCATTAGCTGTAAGGACCCAATCTCAACGACAAGAGATGAACCTCGACTAGAATGTGCAATCCCGTCAGCATCTGCTACCTTTGCTTGCTGATCATCCTCAAACTGGCCCATTGTTGCTGCAAATGTAAACTTGGAACTTTCAACAACCATATAAATTTCAACGTGGCTCTTGGGAACGGCAAGCTCAACATAATGTCTGCAAAGATTGATGTAATTCAGCATTATTTCTTCATAAGATATCTCAGATTCTTTTGAATCGGCAACAGCCACCTTGTCAGGCTCCACATTGTGGCTCGAGGTCTTCGCATTGGATAGTTGATCCAAAAGTGGCCTGATCCGATAGCTTGTAGTGCTGTCGCTGTAGACATTTAAGCAACCCATGCTCAACGCACAAGTCATCAATCCACCTAATCCTTTCTCACGTTCGTTGCCAACATCAGCTGTACCAAACTCTGCAATCAGAAATGCCCTAGACACATCTCCGGTGAAGGAGGGGCTAACCAAATCACTTCCGTCCACTTCGAAATTCTCTGGGCACTTCCATACATGCTGACTCCAAGCTTTAGCGACACATTCCTGCCAATTGAAATGTCTCGTACGAGCTGTAGCCGTCTGAGGCACATCTCCAATGTCCTGAAAACCGTTGCACCTGTCGTTCCCCTTGATCCTACCTTTATACGGCGTACTTGTGAGTAGGTGCAAGGTATCTGACCTCTTCTTTTTCCATCTACCGTGCCGCAATGTAACCATATCCTCATGCAGTGACTGAGAAGCGACTACAGAGATAAGATCCACTTGCCAATGTCCAACTCCAAATCTACCCCCACTTCCAATGTGATCTAGACCATACTCAAGGGAAACCCTTTCCAGAATCATATGTACACCTGGCTTAAGTACTCCTCTTGTATCTAAACTTTCTACGGATTCACTCCACTCTCCAGCAGTCTGATCTGTTTTATCCATGATATCATCATCTGCTGTACAAACTAATGTGAACAATCCCCTACTGAAGTAAACTTCAAAAGTAGGTCCACGATTTTCAACAACTTGAAAAAGCGAACTTTCAGAATTGTACTCCGAAGAGAGAGTCGCCATTTTCTTTTCTTTCTCATCTTTCCGTTCTGAATTGTTCCGATCCAATCCTGGTAACTCAGATTCGCCACGCATAGGCAGCCGTTGTGCACCAACAGTTAACTGCCAAGCTTCTTTCACAAGTGCTAGTGAAGATAGAAGAAAGAAAAAGATGACGAACAGTAAATGGCTCCAAAAACCGATAAATTCAGATAAACTGTGCACCCACAGCTGCCACGCTAGTACAGGGAACAAACGATGGGCAGGTACGCGGATAATCCCCAACTCAGAATCCTTACCATTACCTTCCTGATGCATTCTCTCTGTAGCTGCATCACTTTTAACTCCATCACTAGGCTCATCAATGTCCTCCAACATATTTGATTTAGTGTACATATGTGATCGAAAATCGTAGTTTGACGGCCCATTTCTTGTTGATTGGATTAGGCTTCTTCTGGTTTTCAACAATGTCAACTCTAGAGCCTTGTCGGTTTCTCGTACCCCAGCACCATTTGCTTGGGCAGCAAGTATCAAAAGCACATCAAGTTCTCTAGCGTCCAATCCAACAAGGACTTCAGGAACCTCAACAACCACACCTAAATATTCTATTCCTCTTAATCTTAGAGCCAAAGAGACAACTTCAAATAGCAGTATTTGATCCCTCTTGTCACAGACGTAACTATTCAGTGAATTTCTCCCGTACTCATTTCTTTTACTGATACTAGAGTTCCTATGACGCTTTCCAAAACTTTCATAGCTTCCTGAGAGGGCAAATCTGCTGTTTGTGACGATTTCAAGATTCAGCGCCAGGCCTCGGAAAATGCACATTTTTTTCACTGAACCAACCCTTCGCTCAAACCGATTACGCACAGCTTCCTTGAAAGCTTGAAACAACCCCTCTGCGGGTTTGGCATCATCGGCAGAACCTTCTTGCACAGTGAATGACTCCAAGGATGCCGAGCAAACATAACTTGAAGGTTTCAGGGTTTGAGAAACAAATTTAACAGAGCAGTTGTGCAGTTCAACTCTGAGGGAGGACAGAAAAAAATTCGCCAATGAGTTTATAAAAAAACTAGTCACGGTAGATTCTTTACCCTGCTTCGCGTCGGCTTCAGTTTTTTTGTAACCCTGTTCCCACCATTTAAATAACCATAAAGCTGTTAGAATAAATGGACTATACAAAGAATTACTGCACACACACCTATATGTCTGTCTAGGTCTGTGTATGCATGTGTGTGTGTGTGTGTATATATATATATATATGTATAGTGAGAGAGAGAGAGAGAGAGAGAGAGAGAGAGAGGTCATGGCATATATTACTCCACCAGTGGGATCTCCTAGTTTATTTGTTGTGGTGGCACAGTATGACCTACATGATCACCATATTCATGGACCATCACAACCATTAAAGAAATTAGGGAGAAGTAAAATCTACCTCTCGAGCCAGTTCAGTTTTCTGATCTACAGTGCCTGAATCTGCACGAGGTTCGCTTGCAAGCCTGAAAGTACACCAAAAAAGAAGATAATAAGACTTCACAATATTCGCAGGTTCGGAAGCTTAAATTCTATAACATGAGTAGGATGTTGCGTTCCTGTTGTTTGGTGCAAACTACATGACTAGTGTATTCAGCTACTTAATACAACCCGAAACCGAACGTACTGCATTGCAGATACAATTCTGCGCTGCTAACGTATTAATGGGCACTAAGATAAATTTCGAATTTCAAAACACTGTTCACAGATTTAATTATAGCATTTGCAATGTTTCCAAATGAAATACATCCTAGCGTGGATATCGCGAAATTTTTAGTCCACTTAAAAGCTTTCATTGTTTCACATAAACAGGGAAGTAGAGAAAAAGACATAAACCTGGGTTTGACCACAATATGTATACCACGGACAATGACTGTCCACATAGGAAAACTCAGAAGAGACAACTTGAGATCCGCCTCTTCTATAACGACCTCGTGAACAAGCAAGGAAGTCGTCGACATTGCTGCTTCATTAAGAGCAGCAACATCAAGACTGACATCGCGAAGTCGCACGCGCAGTTGGCTGGTGGAAGGAGTAATCTTGAGACTCGCATCTTGCCCGTGTGCAAGAAATGGTTTCAGTCTCTTGACCACCTCATGCTCAAGTCTACTGAGCAAACCCATGGTGGCCCAACCTCACTTTAAATAAGACCTCGTCTTCATCTCCTGCAGAGTCATGGTATTCCGTACATAGACGGCATGCTATCAGGTGAAACGACGCCCTTGTTAAAGTTACAAGCGAGACTCGCCACTTTTATCAGCCCACCTGCTACTCCAATTCAGAGCATCAAAGTCTCCGAATGTAAAACCCCGAAATAACCACCATCACCTAACACACTGTCCCTGCGACATTAAACCCACGACAGGGTTCCACCAATCCAATACTCATCCAAGAGCTTCTCCATCGCAATTCTGAAGCACATCAATTCGAAAAAGAATCATCACCATTCAACCAACGGCACTAGAGCCAATTCGTAAAAATGCAGGACAGAAAGAGATCGCCAGCAGGCCAATATAGCTTTCAATTCCACCGTTTCCGTTCCGTGAAACTCTAAACCTACCCGAGACTCCAAAAACCGAAACAGAACAAACACTACGCAAATCACAACTATTCTTCATAAGAATCCTCCTCAATCTATCTAATTGTACACTCATCAACCCATCCAAAACACCAATTCTCTTCTCACTGCCACGCTCTCCACTGTTTGAGCAATTAACACCGTAGCAGCACTTAAAACAGTGCACAGAAACTCTGAAAATCCACAACAATAACAACAACAACAACAACAACAACAAAACCCCCGAGTCCACCCCAAAGCCTACCAACACCACAATTCTACCTCTCGAAAAAACACCGCAATTGAACTCAAACTCCACCAATTCCACCGCTAAAAGAATTCCCCAATCCACAACACACACGCACACAAATTGAATGAATCGCTGTCAGTTGTTCTCACGCCCGTCACCATGGCGACTCCACGAAAGAAACCTCGAGAGAACTAACTACCTTGGAAATGACGCAACCAGAACTCTCCAGCTTGTTCGAGAACTAATGATAGGTGACCGACACAATGATTAACAAAGCAAAGCGAGGAAGTTAGCAAGGTTGAATGAGAAAAGCAGCGCGAAAGAAAAAAGTCGAGAGACGAAGGGAAAGGGGCGAAGAAGTGGCCAAATGGAGGGGAATGGGACGGGGAGAGCGCAGCAGAGTAGTGAGTTAGTGAGTAAGTGACTGTGCAGCTCTCCTGTGCCTGCCTCTCTCCGCCTCTGGATTGTGGGACACCTGTCGGGCCCCCCCCCACCGAAGCAGGATGACTCTCTGGATTCCGGATGGACAGACACAAGATAGAATCTGGATGGATGGATGGGTGGTTGTCCGACGGCGCTCTTTCATGGATAGATGGATGGATGAGCGGGTGGATGAGTGGATGGATGAGCAGGTGGATGAGTGGGTGGATGAGCGGGTGGATGAGTGGATGGATGGGATTTACTTCTGTTGTTTATGGATGGACAAATGGATGCCTGTGGAACTAACTACGAATGGGGTAAGTAGTTAATGATTGGGCTCTATGGTTAGTGAAATATAAAGTATTAGTAGTATTCCTTTTATTAAGTAAAATTTTTAAGTAGTAATTGTGTAACTGCTTTTTCTTGTGGAGCTTGCTGCAAGTGGGATATGAAGAGTCATGCCTTGATACTCTTGCACCCTCTTCCAGAATTCTCTACTTTTAAAGAGGTTTAATTATTCTGTACATTTCGTACAAAACTTGCACAATAACGAGTTGAACTCGTGCTGTTGTCACTGAATTTGGAATTTGTGATCAATTCCTAGCACATAGTAGAGGCAGCATGGATCTTGAATTTAGTAACTTGCTATGTGTCGATTGAACCTCTCTGCACACTTGGTTACACCATCTCAATTAGTACACGCTCTAGCCATAGAACAAAACTCCGCTCATGTGTACGTATGATCTCAGGAGCATTGGATTCATCTCTCCTTTCTACTTCCCAACCAAGCATATCCTATCATTTATCTTGCAAAAAGCAATTCCAAAGCTTTTTACTATCCCTCTTATCTCTTACACAACTTCCTTGCGTAGCACAAAATTCTTGTGTGCAAAGGCAAGTGATCCTATTGCATCTCATGTCATATGCTTTAAATGCACTGCTCCTCACTCCTGCTCTTGCATGTCCTGTTGTCATTTCAATATGAACTCTGTTGCAAATCTGGACGAAAGTTTGTGATGAATTGGGAAGTCAATTCATCTAGATAGCAAAGTTGCTCACCTTGCGTTGCCAAACCTTGAGACCCCTATAACCCTAGACCATTACAAAGCATATGTTGAATATATATATATATATATATATATTTTTTATGAAATTATATTTTATATAAAAAGTATGAAATTACATTGTATAATATATTTAACATTGACACTTTGCTTTTAAGATCATTAATAAAATAAATAAAACTTGCATGAGTATAATGTGTCTGGATAGATTTATAAACATATAAATATACATGATTTTTTCAAAAATAATTAGTAACTATTTTATAAGATGTATAAAAAAACACATTAAAGTATTTTATTAAACATATTTTTTTTAACATAAAATGTATTTATTTTTGTTTATAAAAACTATTGAAATGTTAATCTATAAACAATTGTTTTGTAATATCAACTTCATAACCTTTGGGGGTTTTTTATATCATTATATTGACAGATAGAGCTATGCTATTTACTAAACAATGTATTTCATAATACTTATTATTTGAACATTATTGTAGATTTTGAACAAAATGTTAATAAATAAATGAAATTAATTACCTTAATGCACCCTACGTACAATCTTTAATGTTAGATTCAACAATATTGCAGCTAAAATCAACATTTGTAGCTTTTACAATGAACCTAAAAGACATTTTTTTATGTGATTATCTTAGATATTGAATAAGAAAGGAAGCATTAAAAATTGTGTCTAAATTGCAAAATTATTGATAGTTCTTATCAAAATCTCATCATTATTTGGTATGAATGATTGAAAAATCACAAAGCCATTAACGTTACAAATTCTACTTACATACATAATGGATTTGGTTGCTGACGTTATTCTATCATTGAACAGAGATTAGTACTATTTGACTACTTACACCATCAATTATATATAATTGATATATTACACAAACCTTTTAAGCTAAGCAAAGCAATTGTTAATTACACCACCTATTTGCATCAACTCTTTTGGAGCGTGTAGAATAACAAATCTTTCTTTAGGAATTCAATGAGCAGTGAACAAAACTTAGGTGTTGTTTTTGCAGCAATTCCATACAAAGCCTGAATTCAAACTGTAGATACCAAGATCATCACCAACTACCAACATAAACGGCAATAAGATACTAAATCCCATCACATCAGTGCATTAGGATCCTCAATTTCAAGCACTAGGATTCGACAATGCCGAGCATTTGCAACCAAAATTTGACAGAACCACTACCGGAACTCAGACACTACTGCACTAACGCTACCAATGAATCGCAATCTTAGTACAACTAACTATGTAGCTCTGAAATGCGGAGCACAATAATAAGATATAATACCATATGCTCCAGCTTCCGGAATCAACCATCTGAGACTTACGGAAAGCGTCACCGCAAGTTCAGTACCAAAGGTCGGATTTTGGACAAGGGATGGACAGACAGACCAAAGGTAGCAAAGATCAGGTACAAAGAATTGGGAGTGCTATGAGCGGAGGGGAAGAAGAACAGACGCAGCAAAATTGAGGCTGGCGTTGTTGGGCGCCGGAGTGAGGCCGAGGATGTTAGCCATGATCTCGTACAGCTCCACATTCTCGAAGGATGGAATTCGCCTCCCTTGCGCAAACTGAGGGCCACGGGCTATGAAGATTGTTCGCATAGAGAGTAGTACGTTGTCGTAGCCGTGTTCACCTCCGCAGGTGATGGGCTTGTCAGTTCGAGCGTAGGCGAGGGTGTAGCCTTCTGCCACCAAACCCACAATGGGAGCAATGCGGGGGCTGTGCGAGTAGTGCAACCGGGGCGGCAATTGCTCTTTTAAGTAGATCTCTAAGAACTCGGCGTTGTTCATGTTGGATGACGTGAGCGCGCGTGCCATGCTGCTGTGAATGGTTGTGACGTCAAGGTTAGGCGGCGGTCGAATGTGCAGCACAGGGGTGTAATCCATAACCCACTCTCGAGGAATCAGAACCTCGGAGGCAAGATCTTCCAAATAAATCATCTTGTCCTCGGATTTCCCAACCATTCCGTGGTCCCCAACTAGGATTATGGTGACATCTTTGTCCAGTCCCCTCTTCTCCAGTCCTGCAAGAAGCCGCCCTATCATAGTATCGATGCGCACTACAGCAGCTGTGATTTGCGGCGCGTCCGGGCCAGTTTCATGCCCCGGCTCATCTGGAGATTCGAAGTACAGCGTAATGAGGCTCGGCCGCTCACGTGAAGGTAAGTCCAGATACCCTAGTACAGTGTCCACGCGGTCTTCGTAAGGAACCGAGCTGTTGTAATCCTGGCAAAACCTCGATTCGCACGTCCAATTCCCCTTCTTAACCTGCGATCCCGGCCAGAAGTAGGTCGCAGCTTGCAATCCCTGATTCACCACCGTCTCCCAGATCGGCTCTCCCAACCACCACTTCGGGTCCAATTCGCCAGGTTTGAACGTGTCATTGCTCCCAGGATTAGGATCTCGGAAGTAGTTCCCTACAATGCCATGGTACGCGGGGTACAGCCCCGTAGCAATACTATAGTGATTCGGAAATGTCTTCGATGGGAAGACAGGAATCATCCCCGGGTCAGCTTCGGTCCCTTCCATCCTCAACCTATCGATGTTTGGCGTGGCCGCCTTCCAGTTATACCCAAACCTAAACCCATCCGAGGAGACGAGAATCACAACCGGCTTGTCCAGCTTCTGCAGCGGGCGAGATGTACCCCAAGGATGCAAACCTCGCGATGCCCATCTACTAAAAACCTCATAGCTCAAGAATGGCACACAAATGACCAGTGCTACAACCAAGCAGAAAGCTGCACCTGCGTAAGAGTGCCACCTCCCATGTTGACATTGTTTATACCAAGCCACTGGCAACTCCTGTTCAACAATCTCCTTGCTAGAAGATGAATCCAGAAGCAAGTTCCGGTCCTCCTCCGACCTCAACGATAGCTCTGTGGAGACCGGGGGGCTAAGCCGAGCACCACCACTCTGCTTTGTCGCCATAGCCTCCTCCGCGTTCCTGTTTTTTAATATCGAGATCAAAAGTGACAACAACAACAACAGGAGGCTCATCCACCTTGTACCAATTCCATCGTCAGGTCCTGCGCTCACCTTGCCAACTCTGGTCTCCGAACTGCAGGGACAATCAATCGAAACGATAAAATTGAGCCTCGAGAAACAACGGCAAAATGTTATGCTGACCCTGCGATGCGAGACCCTTGCTGGATCCCATAGTATATTCTGTCGGTGAAGCCAGTCTAGACAAACCTTGAAATCCCCTCCCGGGTTAAAAAAAAATAAGCACCGAAGTGCAGTGCAGGAGGTGCCGTGACACGTTGGTATTGGCTAACCGCCCGGTAGCGGGGATGCGGCCATTATGGTTACGCACTCCCGTTTTGGCCACGGCGAGATGTTTGTCCTAATTGTTGACCTAAGGCCGTGTATAACAACTCATTTAGCTCGGCTAAGCCAGGCTAATTTGGCTTGTACCTGCACATAATGTAATCATATTGGAAACTGTCCTATCTGTGCTTACCTTCGTGAGTTGTCCTGATTGTGCTCCTGCGGTGTGCTTGGGGTTAACGAGGGTGACGATTGCCAAGGTTGAAGTATTCTCTTCCATCCGCCAACCAGTCGTGAAAGTTGACCTGTTGCAGCGTATATTTCCAGAGCCGTGATGCTCCCTCGAAAGCGAGGGCTGTTTCTTGCATTCGCTACGATACTTTGAAGGTCTTCTGGCCCATATGGCACTGAATCGAATTGTCGTTGACGTTCTTCTTGGGCCCGCCGTTGACGAAGGATTGATCGTGGAGAATCTGGTGCTTGGGTTCTGCGATCTCGATCGTCCTCTTGTACCATTCTTTCCTCCAGGGTATTTTTAATTAATTGATTTATTTTTGACACAAATGCAATAATTAACTTTTCGTAGTTGACAAAATAGAAATTATATGAGTTGATCGTGAACAAAGATTGCCTTGTTAAGATTTCTAAAATTTTTACACTATATTACATGTTTACATCTCTTTTTACAATAGAAACATTTTGAAGTTGTCATTTAAACTCTACATAATTGGATTTTTACTTTGGAATAAAATACTTACACTTGTCATATCTAATTTACATTAAGAATTAAAATTTTAATACATGCAACAAAAATCATTACATTTTGTTTGAGGAGAATTGAGTTAAACACCTTCCCCTTCATATTTCTTACACTCCAACTTCTTACACTCCAAGCAAACCTAGTGAAATCAAAACATTTGTACACAGCCACAAGAGCTGGTATCCATCCAGTAGAGCAATTCCGTCCTCATCCTTGTTCAACCATATCTCGTTGTTACTAACAAGTGCAGATACATGGAATGTAAATTGCGGATACAGGAGTGGTTTTCACAACTCCATAAAGAAATACAAATTCAGCTAACCATTTATGCTTCTTTCTTGCACCTCAATACATCGACTGGCTTCAAATAACTCGCAGTAAAGATGTGAACAATTATCAATGCCTTGTGGCAAAAAAATAACCCAAAGAGGGAAACAGTAACGTTCCGCATGTCCAGCAACAATCCATCTTAATCACCATAGGACTTAATAAAGTTGTGCAGAATTACATTTCAAACGAGCTATCCAGTTTCACAAGAAACCGCACTCATTTTACATGTAGGCATATGAACCAGAGCAGCTAGGACGAGAACCTCACAACTCTAAGGAATATTAGCAAACCCCCTTTCCAGCTTAACTTTTGCCGAAAGAAATGGAATAGCTTCCAGTGTTGGGATCCTTCACTGCTTTGAAGTCGTCCACGCTCATGCCAAATTTTCCAAGTACGTTGTTACCGAGGTCCTTCAATTTAGCTGCTCAATAGCCAAATTTAGAAGTAAATTCCCTTTTCAAACCATATTGAAGCCAATTCGAATACACTTGTATCAAGCGCATGCTACACAATTTTTAGCTAAAAGCCCCTTCCGCACCTAGTGATAGGAACGGCGTTAACAGAGAGTTGAGCAACGAATGAGTTCTAAAGAAAAATCAAAAGTCACGTTTGGCCCTCTCTTACATCCCTCCAACCGTCGAGAGCGGGTTGATCGTTTGAAACAAACAACGACTTCAAACACATTCACAGAAACAAAGCAGTTCATTAACAAAAATGTTCAACTTAACCCAAACAAAGTACACGTCTGAATTATGGAAACATCTTACTGATCATTTCATCCTTGAGTTCCTCTCTTTTCTTGGCAACAATTGGTTCCAGCCGGATAATCGAAGCCCTAACTGCTTTGTTGGAAGGATCTAGTTCAAGAGCTTTCTTCAAGTCTGCAACAGAAGAATTAACATGATACTTGAGCTGCATTTCACCTCTATTTATTTCAATATCGATCTTGGGTCATTGATTGTGAAAGATAACAAATTAAAAATCAGCATAAATTTTTCACCTGTTTATGATGGACATCCTCTTTATAACTACCTCAAAAATCATGGAAAACAGATACTCAAAAACATTGTACACAGGCACAAGTACTTCATACTGCATACCAGAAAGAGCTTCCTCAAATTTCTCAAGGTTTTCATTGGCCTGCGCACGTCTCATTAGGGCTTTCAAGTAGTTCGGGTTAAGCTCTAGAGCCTTCGTGCTCTCTTTCACTGCAGCCGAGTAATTATTCTGCAAAATAAGAATTTAAAGTGAACTTTTTAATTAAACCCCTCAGCTCAAGGCACTGGTATCTGACCAACAAGCGTGTAACTGCTACACTAGTTCCATACACACAGCTCTAACTTCATGAGCAGATGAAGGTTACAATAATAAATCAGAAAGAAATGATGGCTCAGATGTCGAGAAATGATGCCACGGACGTTGCAAAAGCAGCCACCAAATAACACCAGAGGTTGTGTAAAAAGGATGGCAAAAATCAATCGTTGGGTATAACTGACATGATTATTATACTCAGATCTGTTCGTGAATTACCAGATTGATTTCGCAAATAGCTCGATTTGAGTAGCATTGTGCACGCAGCTCATTTGCACTTGGATCATTGGCAACGTCTTCCAATGCACTAGCGTAGCATTCCAAGGCCTCCGAGTATTTGCCGGCTGCATACAAATTGTTGCCTTGAGACTTCGCTGCATTTGCTAGAGATATGGCTTTCTGTGTCCACTCGTCGCACACAATACTCATCAAGGATCGTAAAAAGTAAACTTCATCTACAAAATCGACTAAACAAACATGATACGAGTACGTGTAATTTACAGCAGCTGATACATATGATTAGTCAGTATATCGTACTCCAATGACACTAGCTTATTCTTTTTAGGGGGAGGCCTATCAATTCTAGCACTTGAGGATTAAAACTCGCGAGAAACTGTTGAGAAATGGTTGCATAACAGTGATCACACAATAAGAGAAAAGGAGTGTTCTGTATTTCACACACCGCTCGGAGCTCCTCCTCAGTCAAAGCATCCTCAAAATGATCTTCGGTGCTTCCTGATGTGGTAGCTGATTTCTCGTTCGAACTTGAAGCGTTCTTCTCTTCACCGACTACCTCGTCTCCTTCACTTGCGGTATCCCATCCATCTCCTTCACCTTCAGCATGTAAGTTACCTCTTTGCTTGGACTTAGCCTGATGTAATGCTTCTGTAAGAAACATAGCTGAGTCAATTTTTACAACCAAATTCATATTTTTTATGAACATCAGAATGGAGTTAACGAAGTGTAGCATATGCTTAGACGAGATAACGATATGCACCTTCTATTCCTACATGTTTTATGTACAATTAACTTAACATAACAGACAAGGAACCTCGCAACTAAAATTCATAGCTTCAGACCTGAATAGTTCAATTACAAACTAATTGCACGAGCACTCGGATGAGATTTCAGACAAACTCATAAAAACAAACCAGGAAAGGTAGCGATTACAGCGTTTATCAACAACTCATCAGGAGAGTCACTAAATTCACCACCTTTATCCGGCATATTCGTGCCCTCGGAGCTAACTGAAACACTAGTGTCCTTTTCTTCCACTGGTAGGCTACCAGATTTGTGAGAAGCCGCTTCTGGAGTAACAGAAGAAGTCGACTTCGGGTTCTTCTTTAACTTCTGCTGCTCATATTCAGGAGCATCGACTTCTGCAACCTCAATGAACACCATGTTTTCTGTGTGCTAACCTCAGGCAGAGTATATCCTGATCGTTACAAAAAATCAGATGATGTCAAATTATCGTAAGCTTCATTCGAATCTGTGATGGCATGATGAATTCTAAAGATAGAGGTTCACTTGCGAATTATATAGCTAAGCACAATCCTCGTGGGAAGACAACCACAAATGCTGAACGCGCTAAGAGCACCTACATAAAAGTTGAACATTCGAGGGAAAACAGCTGGCTTAAATGTCAATAGATATAATCACTAAACCCAAAACCTCAACTCCACTTAACATAAAAAACCTCGTACATCACGGTTTCCCTTATTGCATATTCTTGAATGCAACATGAACAATAGATATCTTTACCTTCAGTAAGGAGGTACCAAGTTAAGGATGACAAGTCAAGAACAACAAATAATACCTCTGGCAGACTCAGCCCTAATTTGACTGAGCAGCTGTAACACAAGCGGAAAACTATAAAAATAGTAAGATTCATCGAAGAGGGCCAAAATAATTTCACAGGTGTCCAATTGTCATTCGAGGAGTCAGCGAGCCATTTTTTTCTTCCAAAAAAGAAAAAAAAGAAAAAGAAAAAAACACACATTGAGTTCTTTCAAAAATACAGAGCTATCAGAAAATTGCACACAACCAAAACACAACGCGCTTCACACAAAGCAAACTGTCTTTGCTCTTATTCCTTTTCATTCTCAATTCAACGCACTATCGACCGATACTGTCCTACGTTTGCGCGTCTGTACAAACAAAGACAGGTAACAAGATAGAACAACAAAAAATATACATCAAATATGATCAAAATTCCATGAAATGAAAGACGACAATTGAAAACCTGTTCAACGCCTTAACTAGAAACGAACCAGAACTAAGGAATCAAAAGCTGCACTGCAACTTGATGAAGAAACAAAAATCTTAAAATCCCCCAATGCAAAAGCAGAGCCGCACATCAGAAACCGAAAATTTTGCCTTCTACGCCGAGAGATTAAGAAAAAAAAAAAAAAAACCACGAGCGCCACAGACGCACCATACGAGCAACTCAGCACCAATCCCATCCCCGTAAGCGCAAAAAACTTCACAGATCAAAGCGTAGGAGGTTTGTCACACTCACCGATCACACGGGTGCAGTTCCAACCCGCAGCTCCAGTTCCGAGGAAAGTCGATGCGAAGGTAGTTGAAGCAGCAGCAACAGCTCTGCGAAATATTTCAATTGCGATTGCGGAGCACTTCGAAGGTGCTGGAAAGATAGCAAAGCTTGCAAGGCATGGACTAGTTTAATACCCTGATTTAGAACCTTATTTTGCTATACTTGACACCCGTCGGTCCTGGGACCCGGGTATCATGGATTCAACCCAGTATCAAGGTTTTGCTGCTTCAGATGAATTGTTTTCTATGCACTCATATAGTTTATATATATTTATCTTTATTCATTTATTATATATTTTGAGGTACAATAGGGTTCGTTTCAGAGTACCTGCTAGAGTACGATCAATTTCTTCGGTAGCTTGATTGTCATTCGTCGCAACATTGCCTCACTGGTGCATTCGGAATCGGTGTCTGATTGGATTCCTCGAATAGACGAGCTTTCAATTGAGCATTAGGTTTGGAAAATCGCGTGATTGTGCACTTGGACGTTTGATTACTCTTTGTCCGTGTTGTCTGAACGGAGCTAGGGTTCTGGGATGTCCAGATTGTCGTTAGTTTAATCAGGATTTCGGGTGAGTATGAACTGGCGATTGTGTGTTATTGGGATGGAGATTCTGGAGTTTGTAGCCTCTGCTGGGAATTTCTGTAAGGCGATTTGCTGTGGAGAAATATAGGTTTACAGGAGAGGTGATGAGCTGGATTGTTGAGGGCCAGCAAGGGCGTGTCGAGAATTCGTGAGGGGCTGTGAAGGAGAGCTCGTGCGAGAAGTGGATTGGAGCAGCATGTTTCCGCAGTTTGCAAGCACGGCGGCCTCGCTCACGCGGGCTACGTCGTTGATGAACAGAGTGGGAACAGATGCCTATTTGTACGATGACCCGGAGGACGGTAACATTGCAATGCTGTTGGACAGCAAATTCGAGGTGGAGAAAGTGGAAGGGATGAAGCGCTTGATCGCTTTAGTGTCCCAAGGTCGCGATGTATCAAGTTTCTTTCCTCAGGTGTGTGTGTCCTCTGCAGTGTATCTGCTGTTCTCTTAATAAGAACTGTTCCTGGAGTATGGTTTGAGTTAAATGGCTTCTTTCCTCGATGATTTAGATTGACACGATTTAATCGCAAGCATTGTGAAATGGACGTATCCTTTACTTGATCATTTTCAGATCATTACAATTGACGTTCCTGAAGCGTTTTCAATGTGGACCTAGAGACACCCAAAGTGCTCAAAACTTAAATATCAAAAATTCTCTGACGCATCTAATTGTGATGGGTTTCTTTTAGCTTCTTAATCACTGGTTTCTAAAAGATAGTCGTGGTTTTTGGGCAGGTGGTCAAAAATGTTGCAACAACATCGCTGGAGGTTAAGAAACTGGTCTACATCTACCTTGTACATTATGCCGAAAAGTACGATGGCCTCTCACTTGGATGTTGTGCATCAATAGCAGCTCAACAAAAATTCTTCTTTGAATACTAGCAGACTCTAGTAAATCCACATTGTTGCTGTTCTATCATTCGCTCGTCTAGAATAGTAAGCGTTTTCAAACCTATGTGCATTCAGCAATCTTGATGCATAATTAAGGGTAGTCTATTGCTTCATTGGGATGATTAGTTGCTCACATGTCTCGTGTGTATTTTGACAGACGCCCGGACGAAGCATTGCTGTCCATCAACAGCTTTCAAAAAGATCTATCTGATCTGAATCCTCTTGTTAGGGCATGGTCTCTTCGGGCAATGTCAGGGATCAGAGTACGAGTCGTTGTACCTCTCGTTGTCATGGCTGTGACCAAGTGCACTCGAGATCCATCGCCATATGTACGACGCTGTGCAGCTCATGCCATCCCAAAGATACACGCCATAGAACGTGATTTACACAAAGAAGCTTTGGAAGAGGTAATTTTTCTTCTCGCGTTAGGATTATATTTGTCCCTTCATATCTGGATCATTTTTAATGTCTTCGTTGTTTGAGAGCATCCAAAACTTTTGTATAAATTAGGTAAGGTCTTAGGCAATGTAAGATGTGTACTGTAGAAAGTTAACATAGATCTCCTCTATCGTGCAGCATAGTTTTCTTGCTTTTACACACCATACGTCATGAATGTCTGTGTATTTGGTAGTTGATTTGCAAGGTTTTGCAGATGGTAGATTTGCTGTTAAATGACAGCTCTCCAAGTGTCATTGGTGCCGCAGCATCGGCTTTCTTGATTATATGTCCAGAGAAGCTTTCTATTCTAGGTCCAAGATTCAGGAAACTTTGTGAGATGCTTCCCGATGTTGACGAATGGGGTCAAGCGGTCTTGCTGGACATCCTCATGCGTTATGCTGTTGCAAGGTATGTCGGAATAGCATTTGTAATAACTATTGTGGTCACTCACTTCTAATAATTTAAATCATTCTGTTGGTCTTATCTTAGATCTATCAAGGGGAGTAATCGCATTTTTTTTTTTTTTTTTTTTTTTTTTTTTTTTTCATATTTATCCTTCGAATGTGTTCAACATTGTGGTCATGAACATTTTCTAATCTTCCTTTGACTGTGCAGTCCAAGTTTGGATAGGTATCATAGCTTCTTTGTCAGAGTGGACTGACATTTGTGCTGCCATCGATATTCTTTTCCAGGTATGGTTGTGTTAGAGGTGCTGGACAAAATTCTTGTGCAAGGAATGACTTACAGCATAAGGTGCAGAAGATGCATAGTACAGACAATTCTGATCACTCTGCAGAAGAGGCGAGTGAAGTGGAACTTCCAGCAGATATACGAGGTTTGCTTCACTGGTCAACTCCGCTATTTCGAAGTCAAAATAGTGCTGTGGTCATGGCAGTCGCTACTTTATACTGGGTTTTCGCACCTGATACGGATCTGAAGAAAATTGTGCAACCTCTTCTATTTTTACTCCGATCATCCAAGGATTCACACTATGTGGTAAGGTAGCAAGCTCAATGATTCTGGTCTTGGTTGTGTTTGAAACTCAATTGCAACTTGTACTCTTCAATAGTATTCTCGACTTTCACACATTTACCGCGATTGTTACTTTATATAAAGCCAGATGAAGAAGGAATTGGGGGGGGGGGGATGTCATACTTCTTTCTATTTTGCAGGTGTTGGCAAACATCGCAACTTTTGCCCTTCAGATGCCACCTCTGTTTGCTAGCTACTTCGAGGAGTTCTTTGTGCGTTCTTTTGACACTGATCCGATTCGTGCACTGAAGCTGGACATTTTGACCACCATTGCTACTGAAGCTTCAATTCACACAATTCTTCGCGAGTTTCAGGTTGCTCATTGTCTTAAGTTTTCAGAAGTTTTCTTTTGCAAATATTTTGAAGCGCGTAGATTCTGGATAGTTCAATAATCTACTCATGAAAAAAAGTGTCGGGATATTGTTTCTCTGTCCATTTGTTGTGAATGCTGAATTCAAAGATCATTCGAAATACCTTTCTGATTATGTTTTGTTTTAAAATGTTGTTCTGAATTAGAAGTCTTTTAGACTTGCCTTGCCGTTGATGACGATATGCTTTGTGAAGATTGCTCTTATAGATAATTATCGCAGAGGTTGAAATTATTGTTCTAAATTCAAAATGCTAATATTATCCTATTTCAGGCCTACTTGAGGGACGTAAACCGTCAGTTTGCGGCGAATACTGTGAGTGCCATAGGCAGGTGTGCAGTACGGTTACCAGCTGTACGTTCTGCATGTGTAGATGGTCTGCTAATGCTCGCCAAAGGAGTCATAGTTGGAGATGGAGTAAGTCACAGCAAAGACGAGGCTGAACAATTGTCTTGTCAAGGAGGACTAAAAATGCCAGCAAAAGAGAAGTTAAGTCAGGAGGCTGGAGTTGTTGCTCAATCTGTGTTGGCACTTCGGTCCATAGTGCAACAAAATCCCTCTGAACAAGAACAGGTGCTGAACCCTTTGTAGATCAGCATGTTGTCACGAATATGAATGTTAATTCTTTAGGATGTCTTTTTTAATGTCTTTATCCAGGGTCTGTACGTAAGCTTAGTTTTATCTCCTTCAGTTGTGTAAATAGTTCAAAGCAAACAGTGCGCAATATTTAGCGAAAAAATTAACTCAAATTCAAATGTAGTTTTCACTGTCCTTATCGGTCATTGAAATTGCTAGTAGGACAGCTTACAGTTGGAAGTGAAATTCTCCGCATTTGATTTTCGTTTAAAAATCAGTATGCTTGTAAACAATCTGGGCTTGCCATTTCATTTTTGAAGATGGTGAGCTTTTATTGCACGTATTATCTTAGGTAATATTTAATGTGTCATATTGCAAGAATATTAACAATTTTGTGATTTCCGTTTCAGGTTTTTGCTCGCCTAGTTCGTCTTCTTGATCACATGAAAGTTCCAGAGGCTCGTGCTGTGGTAATCTGGATGGTAGGTGAAGAGGGTTTAAATAGTGAACTTGTTTCCCAGATGCTGCCAGTTGTTTTGAGATACCTCGCAGTTTCTTTCACAAAAGAAGCAGATGAAACAAAGCTCCAAATACTCAACTGTGCTGCGAAGGTAATTACCATTGGAATCGTGGGTTGTGTGGTATATTATTGGATCTATGGAGTTACAATTTTATCTTTGGCTTCCTGTTTTAAGCTGTGGGAGTCTCATATCTTTGAAATCTTGGGATTTCATCCTCTCCATTCCAACTCTGGCTGGCTTCAGGTGTTTGTCACATGGGCCGGTTTCGAAAATGAAGTTTTTATGTGTGATGAAAGCTGTCCTGATGTGTTTTACGATGTTACCAGATTGTTCTAAAGCTGGAGGAGGCTTCTGCATCTATACTGAAAGAGACTGCTACCTTGGTTTTAGAACACACCCTCAACTTGAGTGATCTAGATACGAATAACGACATACGTGACCGTGCACGGATGTTACGGCGACTAGTTCTTCCCAAATCACACGTCATTTCACAGAGTAAGAATAGGGAGATTCATTTGGATTTGGCTCAACAAATGCAGTCTTTGGGAGTTGACAACGAGGCAACGAATGTGTCAAATCAAGAACCTAAGACCGTATTGGGCGCGAATGGTCACGCTACATTTCAACTGAGTAGAGCAGATGTGCTTACAAAGCTTGCAAAACAACTACTACTTGTGCCCAAAGCTCCTCCCGTGTTGCCTGCTCTTGCACCTGATAGATCATCATTTTTGCCTGGCACAATGTCCCACATAGTCAACCATAATGCTCCAGGTTATACGTCACTGCCGAAGCCTCACAGTTTGGACGTGGTAGCTGATGGCAATACTCCGGGTTCTGCTAGGGATTCTACACTGCACAAGCATGAGCGTAGTCTAATTAGTGGTTACACAGAAAGTGGAACTGAAGCCTCTGGAGATTCTGGGGGTGGTGATAGTGATGGCTATTCGGATGACAGTGGGCCCTATGATAGCGGAAGTGAAGACAGTAGAAACGAGGAGAGCTCTTCAAGCCAAAATATCCTGGGCAAGGGCACACAAATTCAAGGGCAGGGTGGTACGGATCTTGCACCGCTGATTTCAATGGATGATGAATCTGCGGGAGGAGAATTAACAAAAGGAAATGGTTCTCTTTATTATGGCTTGCCTGTAAAGTCAGACAGAGACTTGGACTCATGGTTAGACTCTCAAGATGTAGAAGCTAAAGGCTACTCCCAGACTGCTGACCCTTCTAGCTTGCTAGGCTATGCCTCCATATCTTTAGGACCCTTGAATCCTGTTTTAAGCAAAATAACTCTCTTAGACTATACAAATGGAGATGGATTAGACGTAAAATACACCTATGTGAGGGAGCCTGCAATTTGCTCACAGGAAATGGTATGTCTTCGGCTGTATTTCTTCAACCGATCTGGAGACCCAATGTTGAAAATATCTGTGAAGGGAATGGAGGAGCCAGCCTCAGTTGATAATGCGTAAGTCTTCTTTGAGATAGTGAATTCATTTACCTTAGTAGAGGTGGAATGTGGTGCATCTTTTGTCAGCCAAGAACACCGCTGCCAAACATTGATGCATAGAATGATCTTCAGAAAATAGATCTTTCGATGTTAATTTTCATCATCAAATATTTGCGAACATTGCAGAGGATGCAACCGTGCTGTTAGAGGTTGGATTTATCAGTCCATCCAAGCATCTTGATTCCATTTTTTTTATTTCATATTTGATTTATTTTTCATTTCTTATTTAACCGATTGTATCCTGGCTGAATATGTAGGGATCAAGCAGGTGTAACTTCGGAAGGTCGTAAGGTGATTTCTTTCGAGGAGATAGCTGAATTGGCTCCTGGTGATACTATTGAAAGAGATCTTCAGGTTGAGTTCAAGCATCAACTCACACCTATCAAACTCTTTGTTGTGTTGAATGGAAAAACGTACCCAGCGAAGATCGCTCCCGAGGTCGGGGCTCTTGTTTGTCCGTTGCAATTGACTCGAAATCAGTTCATCACTGCCCAATCGCGTATTTCAGGAATGCTTGAATCGTCTCGCAGGTATGCATTGACTCCTTATGAGTGGCATGTACCAGCTTGATGTTGAGATTTATGAAAATCTATGTGTTCGAGGGTTATAATCAATTTTTATCATCTTAAATGATCCTTTGTAATATTGCTATAAAAAAGTTCTCATACATGTCGGCGAATGCTCTTGTTTGATAGGTGCCTACTGGGTAGCTCCTACTCGCAAACCAGCAATACTGGAGACGATAAGATTCTTTTTATTTCACGAGCAATTGCCTCTAGTGTCCTAAGAGTTGCCCATGTAGCAGTGGTTTCTGCAACCCTTCCAATTTCTGATGCCATAGGCTTCAGCGGTTTACAATTATGTTTTGCTGGTGAGACTTTGACTGAGCGGCTCAAGTGTCTCATCTCTGTAACATTTGATACAGAGAATGCAGTTTTGATCAAGGTGAACTGTGAGGACACGGTTTTTGGGCTGAATCTGCTCAAGCAGCTCGAGACCATCCTCAGTTCATAGCATGACACTTCATAGTCCGATACTAGTCATTGAGCACCACATTTTGAGGCTCGTGTATTATTCATGTACGAAGGAGTTGAGCATGTATATGTGAATACCTAGCACTTCTTTAAGTTACATAACAAATGATTTGGCTCCACCCTTTCATGTTGAGAATAAAGTCGCTCTTCTGAACCTGAAGTGCGAATTTTTAATGAGTAATTCTAAGGTAATAGAACAAGTGTTTTTAACTCTTTTCATTTCTTCAACCTCTCTGAGCATTTCAGTTAGAATCTGCGACTTTGCGAATGGCGTGAAGGCATTCTTACTATTGACATCTGTAAAGCAGTTACTAAATGGTGGAAGAATGGTATTGGTGGAGGGTTTTGAGATGTGCATAGATATGTGGTCATGTTGATACGATTTAAAATTTGCAACAAATTTGCCTCTTGTCAATGACGAGCCACCATGGAAGTCTAGGATTAGGTGCAATTTTCAACCCCGTTGTTTATGTGATGCTTCAAGAAAATCTCAACCAGCGACTGTTGGCGATTGAACGGTGTTAGATCGCGTGAAACACAATTTCTACGATGCACATTTAGACTTTATTGGTGAAGAATCTGGTTTTCTCTGCTGGTTTAATTCCCACGGACTTAGAGTTAGTGATATCGCATTTGTCTTCGAACAATTCGGGGAGTGTGAGTTGCTGTGGCTGATGACGTTTCACATCACATTCCATGAACAGGGTAGCCAATACATGTTAGATATTACTCCTAGTCAACCATAAAGTCCTTTCTCATTCATCATGAACAGAGCCCTACATCCATAGCATGAAACTATCCATAATCTCAGTATATATTGAGACCCTTTGTGTACTTCTACAATGAACAATACATATTTTATTTCATTGTTCTCTTATTCTGTTAATGTATCAAAGTGGGATAGGTCCTATGACTTTGCTAAGGATCCTTCTTGTTATTATTATTATTGTCACTTAGATTGTATAGTAATCAACTTTTTGCAAACTTTGGTGTGGGCTCAAATTCTCCATTGTAGAACTATTTTGTTTTTGCTCTCTTTATATTCAATCATCAATTAGATACACTCATTAGAAATAGTAGCTAAGATAACCATGGGCACAATGGATACTGTTGTATCTAAGGATATCATGCTATCATGATCTTTTAACTTCAAGCTATGGCACTCTACACTACAAAACATCCTGAAGAAGAATAATCTCTAGGATGTCATGAGTGAGGATATATTTCTAGCCTTGGAGACATCAACATTAGAACTCAATGATTTAAGGGCCACCCCAAAAGTCATCCAAGTTACGTCCACTACTATAAAAGCTTTATCTATTGAGAGTGACACAATTAGGCAAAAGCAAATAACAATAAAGTCCAACATTGATCTTTTGACCCAACTTAAATTGCATATTTGTATCCAAAATAACTTGGATCCAAGAGTTTTTTGGAATTGCTTAGTATTAATGTACTAAACAAACACGATTGTTGACACAATGCTAGTATTCAACAAATAGGATAATATTTATATGAATGAATAGATGGACGTTTCTACCTTCATTACTAAAGTGTACAATATCTAATAGAAAATGACTACTATCTATCAATTCCAGTCAAATGCTATCATTGTACATCACATCCTGAATAGATTACTATCCTATTTTCAATACTTAGCTCAATAGATTGAAAATAAAAGAACCATTTTGTCTTTGGAAGAATTAATTGCTCAACTTCACAATGAACAATACTTCATTTTCATTCAAAAGAATGAGGTCAATAAAGCTCTTATAATGAGAATTCAAAACATGGTGCAATGTTACTACAAACCACATTACAATACTTATAATTTCTAACCTTGAAGACATCTTCTAGGTAATCAATAACATCATCTATAATTTAACCTAAATGAATTCATCTACAATATGTATAAAAAATAGGGATACATCTTTCAATATTGTTAGGACCAACACCCGCCTAGTTTGTACCATTTATACAAAGATTAAGATTGTTAGGAGCATATTTTGAAAAATTTCACAACACTAAAATATTACCCTATTTTGGACAACATCAAGGTGTGCTTCACCTCTAACTATGGTGCCAACATATTAGAAGAAACAAGTAGTGAGATTTATTCATCTCACTTTCTTTTTGAGGTAATTCTTGAATCTGCACTTGATGCACTTAGTCTAAAAATTAATCTGAGAGAAAGATACTAGCCGTTTGACTTTTGTGCTTTAATACATTTTTTAGGAGACAATAATTCATTTCAATTTTTAGATCCACCCTATGCTAATTTTGTGACTTTGGCGGAAAGCCATACATATGTAATTAAAAGGCAAGGTTTTGCTAAGGTTTCTTTTCTATTTGTTGAAATAAAAATCCTTAGAGATATTTATTATGTACTAGGCTTCTATTGGAACATTGTCTCAGTAGAAAAACTTATAAATTTTGAAAACATAGCTTCTTTTTATTCTTCTACATGTGTAGATTTTACCAAAACCAAAACATATTAAGTAGTTGCTTCAAGAAAAAAAAAAAAATCAAATAATTTATATAAATTCACAACTAATATATTAAGGTATCAAAGATCTTCTAGACAAAAGCTATGCAAACTATGGTACATGTCCTTCAACTAAGTCCAATATAGGTATCACGCCTACTAAAGTACTTTGGAAATATAAACTCAATTTAAAAAATGTCCACATATTTGGATATATAAATATTGTCTATCTAGATAAGATTGAAAGAAGAAAGCTTGAAGAATGGTCCATCTTTGGCATCTACATGGACTTTGATCTCAAACCTAAGATATACCAAATCTATATAACATTAAAAGAAAAACTCTAATTACTTGGAATGTTGTCTTTGACAAAAATTATTTCCTTGATATACTATTGGTTGACTCAATATATAATTTTGATGCACTATTTTTATAAAATCTAATTTTTATGTACCAAATTTTTAATAATACTTTAGTAATATAATGCAATACAAAATCCAAAATAGAGACTTCAAATTACTTGCCAAATTCTTCTAATATCAATAATATGATCATGCTATTCTTTGTATGTACTAAATTTGATAAAACTTAATGACAAATAATACTAATTTTGGTGATACTACACCAATCAAATCACTTACTGCCAATAATATCATCCACATCAAATTTTAGCTCATATTAGTCTTTCGTTGATAACTTCAAGGATTAGTCAACCAATGATAGTAATAAAAATTTCATATTGATGTCAAAGATGCTAAGTGAATTTAGTAATCTTCAAAATAATCATGATTCCATCACCATGGTAGAATCCAATACCACTATTTGCATCAATCAACATTCAAGAAGTCAATCTATTTACTTCAACAATTATTTTGTTGGCCTCAATAAGCTTCTACTAGAATCAACCACCTTTCATAAAGTCACCTAAGATCTAACTTGGTGCAATTATATGTGAGAAGAAATTGAATCAATATACAAAAATAAAACATGGACTCTTAATTAACTTTTACTAAATAAAGTTTTTATTTTAACATAATGGATTTATAAGACAAAGCTCAAAGCAAATAGCACCGTTTGGAAGGAAAAGGTCTACATAGTAGCATGGGATTTTAAACATCCTATAAGAATAGACTACAATGATATATTTGCCTCAATTGTAAAATAGGGCACAATCTATCTACTACATATATTGGTTGCCAAATAAAACTAGCCTTTTTTTTATATGAATGTGAAAATAACCTTCTTATATAAAGTTCTCGAGCAAGAGGTGTACATATCACAACTACATGGATTCAAAATAGCAAAAAAAGAACACCTTATTTCTAAGCTTTACAAGGCTCTCTATAAATTGCAATAAGTACCAAAGGCTTGATACACCAATATCAACACATTCTTATTAGAACATTCTTATTTATCAAAAGAAAAAATGATTATAACTTGTATGTTGTTCATGTCAAAAATAAAACCCTACCGCTAGTTTTATATGTAGATGATTTACTAGTCACCAAAAAATTTCTAAAGTAGATTGCATAGGTAAAGATACAATTAAAAACATATTTTGAGATGTCCAATCTTGGTGAAGGAAATATGACATTTTTTAAAAAGTAAAATGCATTCAAGTGAAAGGAGGAAATTTTATTATCCAATGCACCTACCTAGTATAAATCCTTGAGCTATTCTAGATGACATCATGCTAGCCAATTTTGATACTAAATTAATTCATCAAACTTCTTATTAATATGCAAGCTCTCTACTATAATCCAAAATAATACCGTTTATTAGTCAAAAAATTAATTCATCTTATATATTCACAATTTGATATTTTCTACTTTATAAGAATAGTGAGACACTTCATGGCAAGACCTCAACTGCTACATCTTCAAGCTGCCAAAAAAATTGTACATTATTTGGGTAAAACAATAAATTATGGGATATTTTAAAAGTGAGATATCAACATGTAAATTACAAAGTATGTAGATGCAGATTGGATGGGTGATTTGGAAGATGGTCAATCTACTATGGGCTTTGTATTCTGACTCAAGGATGGACCTATCACCTAATTGTCAAAGAAACATGTTATAGTGGCACTAAATTTGTCCAAGATATATGTAGTAGATGGCAACCAATATATGTAGAAGATGGATTGTGCCCTATTTTACAATTGTGTGGCAATAGAATACATCATGCTTTCTATTGCCACACAAGAATCTGCTTAGTTAGATAAGTTGATAAGAGATCTCGGCCTAACAATACACAAACTTGTCTAGATTCAGTGTGATAATGAGGCAAGTATGAAAATGACAAACAATCTTGATATCAACCCGCAAATCTGCTCATTATTACTTTACCGGAGACCAAATCACAAGTAGAGAAATTCATCTAGAATACATGCCATCAATAGAACAGAAGGCTGACTTCTTCACAGAACCATTAGAAAAAACTTTATTCAAAAAATTCAAAAATAGATTGGGCCTATGTAATTACAATGCGGTGAATCAACCACCATGCAATCAACAAACTGATCTCTAGAACCAAAAATTAGCCTCTCATCTAACTCACAATTTTCATGTTGACGGTTCTTCCCCTCTCGCAATTAGTCATCTTCTTTGCATCTATGAACACCTATTCAGTAGATTCTCTCTTCCTCACCATTTGAAGCTCATAGTTATGTAGAAATCAATGCCACAATTTATTGA